CTGATGCGGGACTCGATCCCAGGACCCTGGGATCATGACCTGAGCCGAAGGCAGACGCTTAACCATCTGAGCCACCCAGGCGCCCTAAAATTTATTTTAACAATTAACAATTTATTGTTAAAACTTGAACAATTAAGCAGGAATATTATTTAACAATTTAAAGACTTGATATATTTAACAATTAAAAGACTTATTTTTTTGGCTTTCCTTTATTTAACAATTAAAAGATATAATAATTGCTTGTTTCTAGGTTTTACTACTTTTTTAAAAGATACCCTAAAGATATGAATAACTGATTACATTTTAACTTACCTTTAGTGTGAGGGACTTTATTGATATATCAATCACTTGTGGATCTGTACCTATTTGAGTAGCTTGATAGAACAAGTCACAGGGCTGCAAAACCTAGGAGAGAAAATTCAATACCACCAAATTAACACTGTTCTAAAATAGTTTTATTTAAAGACATTCCTAGTAACAGTTATGTTAAAAAAAAAAGTTAAAGTAACTTTTTAAAAACACAAGTGACTCAATAACACAATTCTCTTTTATACTTATCATTTCTAATAGGAAGTATTAACAATAGCAATACTATAAAACAGTTAAGTCAAAGAAGATCTTAAATATGCTTAAATACACAAAAACCCCACAAAACTTGTATTATGTATTTTATTTTACTTAATATAATAAAATTTTCTCCATTATAAAGTTGAAAAAAAATAATCTATATAGGAAAAGCTACAAAAGATGAGGAAAAAATTATAAATACATTAGATTTACTAAATAACTCTTAATATAATCATAAATTAACAAAGTTTTCTCTGTGGTAGAATTCTCCCCTCTAGCCCCTAAAGACTCACATTGGTCTCAAATGCAAAATATATTCACTCACCTCCTAAGGTTTCTAATAGCCTCATACCATTATAGCCCAAAGTCTAAAATCTCATCATCTAAATCTGTTACCATATATGGATAAGATACTTCTCATCCATATTTTATCTCATCCATGTGTTTATTTAATATAGTAAAATTTTCTCCATTTTAAAGTTGAAACAAAATGATCCATATAGGAAAAGCTATATTTATTTCTCACTGATGCAAAAATCCAAAATCTCATCTCTGATCAGCCCAAGGTCTAAAATCTAAATCACGCACAGGTGCTGATGAAGTACCTGGGTATAATCTATTAAGTACAGCTGCTAGGGCACAATTTCCCTTTCGTGGATCTGTGAAAGGAAGAGGAGGTATCTGCTCCCATCTTCCCAACACAGAATGGTGGGGCAGTCACAGGATAACATTACATATATTCCAGTTTAAATGGGGAAAATGGAAGGTCAAAAGAAGTCACTAGCCCAAAGTAACCTGAAATCTGGCCAGGTCCATGAGTTTCTTGATAAGGTTTCAAAGACTAGGAACAACTGTCTGTGGCTCTCACCTCTACGCTCTGAATCATCCTCCCTTTTCTAGAAAAGGTAGCATAAATTTGTAACCCAGTAGTTTTATCGTCCTGCTTCCCGCCAGTAGGATTTTGGGGGCCCAAAGAGTCACTCTCCATTTTGTACTCCCTGTCCCTCCCAGTCCATGCCGGCAGTGTTTCTGCCAAAATCATTTCCTCAAGAACCTTGAGGGCCTTCTGTAAATTTCACAAGGCTTTACTCCATTAGACAAAAGCAACATCCACTGATCTTTTTGAGATAATCATGGTCTCCTGCTGAGACAGCTAAAGGACGACACCTTTATGATTCCTAGAAGCCTCCGTGTGATTGAGAAGATCTGAAAGGGCCCTCTGTGTGTCTGAACACTATGATTTTTTGACCTAAGATTTAAGAAACATTTATACAATCACACAGTCTTTTCTCTATACTACATTTTTGGAAGCCATTTCTGACTTTAAGCAGCTTCTGCCATTTGGAAGGCTAAGAAATATCAAAATCATAAAGTCCTGGTTCTCTGGTTCTTTTTAACTGTTCTTTCTCAATTCATCTCTCTGCTCTAGCATTTTACTATTAACAATAAGAAATCAGGCAACAGCTTCGAATCAGGCAGCTTAGAAATCTCCTTAGCTTTATATCCATGTTTGTCACTTAGGAGTTCTGCTTTCCAAACAACTATAAGACACAGTTTTGCAAAGCTCTTTGTCACCAAATTTCAGGCCATCCCTTTAATTTCCAATAACACGTCTTTCACCTTCCTTGTATGCCTCCTGTTGGTAGCATCATCAATGACCATATTCCTACCAAGAGTCTGTTCAACACAACTGAGGCTTTGTCTATCCATCTCCATAAAATTCCTCCAAATTCTGCATACTGCCCACTCTAAAGCTGCTCCCACGTTCGAAATAGCTGCTACAACAGCATCTTGCTACTGGTACAAACATCTGTATTTGTTTCCTACTGCTGCCTAACAAATTACTACCAAACTAGTAACTTAACATGAATTTATTATTTCCCTGTTTTCATGGGTCAGGAATCTTGCTGAAATCAGGTGTCAGTCACCTGGTTGTCCTCACCCGAAGGTTTGACTAGGGAAATCTGTTATCTCATCATATATGGATGAGATACTTCTCATCCATATTTTATCTCATCCATGTGTTTTATTTAATATAGTAAAATTTAATTTTACTCGTAAAAACGAGCTCCTTCAAGTTGTTGGTACAATTCATTTCTTTGTGGCCCTAAGACTGAGATCTCTATTTGCTTGCTAGCTGTTGGCCAGAGACTGCTTTCTATTCCTACTAGTCATTCACTGGTTCTTGCCATGTGGCCTTCTCCCCAGTTTGCTCCTTCAAGGTCAGCAGGAAAGCATCATTTTGGTGTTTCACCATTTTAAAAAACTAGGTTAGGCCCACCCAGAATCTCTTTTTGATTAACTCAAAGTTAACTGATTAGTGACTTAATTACATTTACTGATCCCATACACATTCAAGAGAAGACTATACTGGGCACATGCAACAGGGAATAGAAATCTTGGGAGCCATCTTAAGAGTTCTGCTTATACTTGACAATGCAGAATAAATCAAGGGAAAAAAAATGACATCTAAACCCACTCCCCAAAGAAATCACATTAAAATCTACCATTATTCTAATAAAATTAGCAAGATCAACTGGTACATAACTTAAATATTCAGTTTATTATTTCTTTAAACTTCAAGGACAGAAAATTATAACCACTTTACAATACATGATCCAAGATTTTCAACACAAAATTTGTGTTATCTCTTCATCTCACATACGACAAAACAAAACCAAAAAATAGCATTATACATATAAAAGTTTTCCTATAACTTAGAAACTTTTCATAATAGCCCCTTTCCAAAATAAATACAAAGGTGTATGTTGATCCTTACCCAATTTCTTTATTTTCTAGTTACTGAAGATTAAAAATGTAGCTGGTCATTAAAAGTAAATGTGTTTATGCCAAAACTATATTACAGTCAAATTGTAACACAGTCCATATAGATGGATTTAATGATGTAAAATCATTTCTTAAAATGGAACTGTTTTCCTAGTATTGTCTTCAACTATAACCATTGTGATTTCAGTGCTATTTCTATCATTTTTTTTTTCTCCTTCCTACTCCGCTCACCTAACTGCTCCCAGTCTTATGTGATTTTCACTACCGATGCATTCCTTTACTGCTGCTACTGCTTCCTCTTCAAAGAAGCAATCTTAGGCTATAGACAACATCTACAGAAACCCACAAGAGCTCACTATAAACTCCCCCCCTCACTCTTACAGGAGAGTTAGTCTTCTATTATAGAATCCCCTAAGGTACTTTTAACAAAATACAGAAGAAATTAAAATAGTCTCCAATTTAAGGTATCTTACCCATAAATGTAAGGCTTTTAATATGCCATAGGAAAAACTATTAATGTAATTTATTATAAGAATAGTAAAAATATTACACTTCTTTCAATAGATGGTAGTAAGCACTCAGTAAAATTCCACATTTATTCATGCTTAAGATTCTTTCAAAATTAGGGAAAATTTCTCAACATGCTAAAGGTTTTATATATAAATTCACAAGCAAATATTAAAATAATACTAATATCACCTAACTTAATGGGAATACAATGAGGACAAATCATTATTGTCATTCAAGGAACAAACAATGTTACTTTTACAGGTGATTTTTAGAAAATCTAACATCATTAAAAGTATTAGTACAGGTAACAAGTTTAGGAAAATTATAGAAGAAGATAAATTCATTAAAAAAGCTAACAGCCCAGGGGCACCTGGGTGGCTCAGTCGGTTAAGCGTCTGCCTTCAGCTCAGGTCATGATCCTGGAGTCCTGAGATTGAACCCGGCATTGGGCTCCCTGCTCAGTGGGGAGTCTACTTCGCTCTCTGCCTCTCACCCAGCTCGTGCTCTCTCTCTCAAATAAATAAAATCTTTTAAAAAACAAAAAGCTGACAGCCCAGCCATCAAAAAGAATGAAATCTTGCCATTTGCAATGACATGTATGGAGCTACAAAGTATTATGCTAAGTGAAATACATCAGAGAAAGACAAATACCATATGATTTCACTCATTTAAGAATTTAAGAAACAAAACAGATGAACGTAAGGAAAGAAGAAAAGAGAGAGAGAGAAAGGCAAACCAAGAAACAGACTCTTAACTATAGAGAATAAACCTAAGGTTACCAGAGAGGAGGTGGGTGTGGGGATGGGTTAGACAGGTGATGGGGATTAAGGAATGTAATTGTTGTGATGAGCACCAGGTGTTGTGTGGAAGTGTTGAATCACCATACTGTACACCTGAAACAATATTACACTATGTTAACTGGAATTTGAATAAAAACTTTAAAAAAAGCTGATAGCTATTTATGATGATACAAAATAAATTCAATATATGGATCATGATTTAGTTTTTATTAGGATTTAGGAATTTATTCAGAAATTATTATAAAATCTTAGTGGATGAAATAAGGTCAGACAAATATAAATTTATACTCTACAGGAAGCAAAGATGAGAATATCCCATATGTTAAAATGGGTAGAAAAATTTGGTGCCATATATCCCTTGAAAATTAAATAAATTCTTTTTGAAAAACACGTTTACAACACTTTACATACATTTTTAAAACTTTCATGAAGTTCTACTAAGCATCCATGGACCCCAATTAATATTAAATTAAGAAACTTTGTTTTAGGGGCGGCTGGGTGGCTCAGTCGTTAAGTGGCTGCCTTCGGCTCAGCTCATGATCCCAGAGTCCTGGGATCGAGCCCCGCATCAGGCTCCCTGCTCAGCGGGAAGCCTGCTTGTCCCTCTCCCACTCCCCCTGCTTGTGTTCCCTCTCTTGCTGTGTCTCTCTCTGTCAAATAAATAAATTATTTAAAAAAAAAAAAAAAGAAACTTTGTTTTAAGATAAAATGAATACAATATCAATTAAAGTTCCACTAACAAAACTTATCAAAATGTATGTGGCCAAAACTGCTGGTTGGCCATAAATACACTTATCAAAATTCCCTATAATCTTAGAAGTTTCACTTAACACATGGTTACCCAGCTAAAGATCTCCTTCCCTAGGCTTCTATTTCCATCTGTGAAAGAAGCAACTTGTAGCACAGTAATAACCCATCTACAAGTTGAAAGTGATGTTAAAAAAGGCTGCTTCAAAGCAGAAGCAAGCTACCAAGGCACCTTGCAAAGTCCCCAAGGGGTGGGAGGTGGGGAGGAACAGAGAAGTTCTCTCAAATCTTGGAAGTGATTTACCTTCAAGTTATTTGTCAAATTCTTGAGCTGTACTACTAAGCAGAAGGCTATCGCTAGGTAGAGTGGAATGGTCAGCAATTTCAAAATGGTCAACAGAATGGGACCAAGAAGAAAAAATCAATTTCTTTGAACAAGCAGATTAAGTTACATCCTAGGAATAGCCCAGCAATAAAATGGAAGGAAAGAAATTTTTTTTTAAATTTTTTCATTATTTATTTATTTATTATTATTATTATTTAAGATTTTATCCACCCGACAGAGACACAGCGAGAGAGGGACCACAAGCAGGGGGAGTGTGAGAGGGAGAAGCAGGCCTCCCGGCAAGCAGGGAGCCCGATGCAGGGCTCGATCCCAGGACTCTGGGATCACGACCCGAGCCAAAGGCAGCCGCCCAACAACTGAGCCACTCAGGCGCCCCAAGAAAGAATCTTTTAAATGTAATTAAACCATGCTTTTGCTACTTCATTTGGTGGGGGGGAGGTATCTCTTGTTTCAGCAGCCTAATATCCTAATACAGAATTTCATACCTAGAAGTTGGCACCACTATAACAAAGTCAAAATAGCTGACTGATTTAGCAATTGAATGGGCATGGGATATTTTAAAATGAGAAAGGACATCAACTACCTCCATTCTGACCTCTATCTGTACTTTCTAAATGATTTAAGTTTTTCTTTCCATCTTATTTCTTAACTCAGGCAAAAAACCTTGGGGGCAAAGCATTCCCTGATGGGAACTGAAACTACCCCTTAAGCAGAGAGGACGCCCTGGACCAAAAAGACCCCAAGTGACTGACCCCAAGAAAATGACCGACCTGACCTTTACCGCCCACCTGCATGGACCCACGACCTCTGCCCCACTTTTTCTTTATATAAACCTAGAAACATTTTTGGCACTTTGGAGACAACCTTTGAGATACTGGCCCATTGTGTTCTCGGTGTTGGTCTCACCGAAATAAATTTCTTCCTTGTTTCAATGCCACTCATGTCTCTGCCTCTGGATTGTCCAAGCGGCCAGTGGCCAAACGCTGTCTGTTTAGGGACCCCAGAGCCAGGTGCTCTTGCACCCCTGCCCGCCGGCTACAAAATTACAAAGCTGATGACTTTAACAATGCCATAGCAAAATATTTGGTGAAATTGCTACTGGTGATACCTAGGAAGGCAGACAATGTACTTTAGAAAAAAGCCTACTGCCAGACAGGTTTAGAATATTTAGAATGTTGCTATTTATTAGCCCTACAAGAGAAAGGAAAATGCTGAGAAGACTCGGGGTCTAAAGAGTAACCTCAGCGAGAGATAAGACTGTGGCTCCTAGTCTTTCTCTGGCAATTTTTGTTAAAATCAAACATGGGAACTAGCCCGTGGAAAAAACAACGAAAATTAGAGTACAGATGGTGCCTGTCCCCCTTGCCCAAACTTATTCCTAAAGTAGCCTTTACTAAATCAGGATGAAGGCAGAATCAGTAGAATATAGAGATTAGTAAATAAAACAGTTTTCTAGAATAAATGAATGAATGCATTCTTTGGTTATGGTTGCTTACACCTGGAACTACCTAGAACTAAACTAAATGTTCAAGGAATGAAAAACTGCCAAAGAAACCATTATCAGCCATGCAAAAGCCTTTTGTTAATTCAACTGCTAGAGCAATCTCCAAGTAACCAACTCAGCAGGAAGTGAGCTGTGAAAAAAGTGCAGCTCCCAAAAAAAGACAATAGCCACTTCAGATGTGTCTACAGAGAATAACGGTTTTAAAAAAAAAATCTTTTAGAGGGGAAATCTGGGGCCACCTGAGAAAATGTTTTTCCATGGGAGTGAAAATGGAAGACTCCAACACGGGCTCTCCCAGGAACTTGACTCCATTGCAAGAGCTGCAAGTTTTCACATTTCTGCTCAGAAGGATGTGATAAACGTTATGGATAAATGACTACCAAGTGCTCCCCATTCTTACTTTTCTGAATGGGTTTTTTTTAAATTGCAATTAGCCTGTCCTTATACCACCATTATATAGTGGTTGTGTGTGTGGTGATGGAGTGTTTGCTGAAATGCCGTGGCTTGTCTATTAAGAGATTATCAAAAAAGAGAAGTCACAGCAGACTGAACAAAGAAAACTATCACCTACAGATCCTGGACTTTGAGACTGTATCCCTTAAGGAAGAGAGGAGTATGTTCTATGGGTGAGAAAAGACAAATATGAATTACTTGTGTGGAAAAAGGAAGAAATCTCTGAGTGAACCAATAGGGTAGGACCTCTAATTGTTACCTGATATCTCCTTGTGGAGAGCAAAATGGAGTCTCTCATGTCAAGCAGGAGCCTGTGTCAAGCAATGACGCAAGCAGTTAAAGGTTCTGCAGCTAGGAGGTACTGCCGGGACCGATGTCAGCTGACACCCCAGAACTGATAAGCAGAACCAGAGGAGGTCTGCAGAGACCCAAAACTGATTAAATCCCTTTGAAAAGGGGAGGATTTGGGCAGTAAACTGTCAAGACTCTTCAGACCTGACCCATCTATGTCTGACCACTTAAAAAGGGCAACTGTCCCCGAAGGCTCTGCCTGATTGATCTCCCAACAGAACTGAGATCCTTCCCTGATTGAACATCAGAAGCAGTAAGTGCCAAGAGCTGACCTGGGCCAGACAGAGGCCTTATCTCAACTGTGTGCCCACAGACTGACTTTGTGTTTGGTTCATTCACTTCCTGCACCCCTCGTTTGTCGGGGGGTTTGTCTTCTGTCCTGCTTTGTGTGCTGTGTAAGGAGCCAAGTTTAATCATATGGTGAATTGTCACTGAGTTTGGAATCCTGAACCCGCTTTCTAATTGCGATTTAACTTTGCCTTATGATTGAATAAAGCTGACGTTGTGGAAAGACACAAGTTATGTGTGCGCCTTCACAGCGAGCTCATGAAACTCCTCTTCTATAGAAATAAAAGTTTTATCTGAGCACAAGGTAGCTCAGAAAAAAAGACCACATTCCCCAACCCTTTGTGAAGATAAGTGTGGTCATACAACTAAGTTCAAGTGGTTAAAAAGAAAACCACAGGATCAAGATGGAGTCATGTATGCTAGGCTAAATCACTAAACTTAATACTTAACCTAACTGCAGTCTCAACCTCCCCCAGAAATGCAGTCTTAGTCAATCAGGAATTTTTTGTCCTGCACCAATGAGGTAAGCTGTCACATAGACCCTTCTCCATCCCCAAAAGGAAGATAATTTAATCCACTAAGAAGACTCCCTCTTTTCCCCCTAAGGGAACATGACCTTGTCTGAGACAATCCTTTCTTTTGCTAATAACTTCCTTGCCCCACCCTCCTTCCTATAAAGAATCTTCATTTTATAGAACTCCTAGGAGCTTCTTTTTGCTAGATGGGATGCAGCCAAATGCATGAATTGCTTAATAAAGCCAATTAGATTTTCAAATTTATTTGGTCAAATTTTGTCTTTTAACAAAGCCAAACAGATATAAATAAAAGAAATATATGTAAAATTTCTAAATTATAACCTAAAAGAGAATCTGTATTCCCTCCATTTCTATTTCCTCTTTTCTTACTGGTGAACCATCAGCCTTGCAAACTAGGAAAATAAACTCTCTTGTATCCTAATATATATGTATTTACTTATAACAAAATTATAGCTTATATTTCTATGTTGATGGTATTTATGCTATTAGTACATTTATGCTTCCACTACTCCTTGCAGAAGTCTACACATTTTATGTGTTCTATATGAGTAGTAGAAGTAATAGGTAGTTGAGAAAGATGTATGTCTTTGAAGAAATAAACTAATCAGTAATGAAGAGGTGGAAGGCCAAGAGGCTACCAGAGAGTAAAACATAAATGTGATGTTTATTAAAGCAAATAGCTGAATGTTCAAATAAGTTGTATGTAGAAAAGAAAAAACATATCCGAGCAAAAATGTCCAGATGGGAGAAAAAGATTAAAAATAATAAAACTGAAACAACAAAGCAAACAACTGGTAGAAAGTCTCAAAGGCCTAAGAGGAATTGACGTGGTCAGAAAGCCACGGTGAGGTCTCTGAGAAGTGTCCAGATGAAAACAACATCTTCGACTATTCCCACAAATACGTACACCACCAAGGAGCAACTGGGGAAAGAAAAGAGTTTCAAAGCTGGTGTAATAATAATCTCTCCGAGAAGAAAAAAAAGTAAAAGTATTCAGGTAGTTTTCTAAAGTGGTATATACTAAATCCAAAATAGTTTACAATTAAGCAGATAATGAAAGTATGTAATGAAAGATAATGAAAGAGTAAACTCACAGTAGTGATTTTGCCTTTTCTCTTGACTGGAAGAAATGGGCATGCTCTCACTTGAAGATCTTTAATGGCAGCAGTCATTGTATTATTCTCAAGGTCACCTTTCCAACAAATTTCACATTGTGTTGTAATGACTAATGCAGGAGCATCACTTCTTGTCATATCAGCCACAAACACAATTTCAGGATTTTTAATAATAATATTAATTTCCCACTTCTCTGATTCCTGTACAGATACTAAATACAAACAAAAATAAGTTCACATTTTAAAATATTTATAAATCTTTGTTATACATATTATTTATGAATAATTATTTGTGAGAAAATGTTTTTTCATTTCAAGTAAAAAAATAAAAGAATCTTCGATCCCAAAGGAATCTACTGCAATTCTCTTAGTTTAAGAGTTCAAGATGCTATAGTCTTCAGAACATTTAAAAATGTGGGGGGGAAAAAAACCCTTTAATGGCAGCTCTCACCTTGATACTACTTCTGCTCTACCACAACGAACGAAATATGTAAAAGATAGTGGAGAGCTATAAAAATAACAAAAATAAAAGAGAAATTTAAGTTACAATATTATCTTTAATTATGAAAAGTAATGGTTGGTTTGTTATTCTCCCTACTTGTTTTCGTCAAAAAAATTCTTTGAAATTGCTGCCTGTGGGGAAGTATATTTTGCTTATTCTAATATAGGTCTCATAATTTGTGAACCCAATATACATTTACATCCTGAAAAATAGGCAAACTGCGATTTCTACCAGAAAGCACATTTAAGTTTTCCTTTTACCTCTGAAAAATAAAAATTTATTTTTTAAAGATATTTATTTAATTATTTGACAAAGACACTGCGATTCACTTAACCTCAACATCTAGAAAGGTAATCAATGGTGAGTGCTACTGTAGCACTTCAGTAATACAGATATGAAATATTTTGGCTAATAACTAACCTTCTTCCTTAGCAGTCCATGTCTGAACACTGGTTTCTACAGCAGTGCCTGTGGTGTAGGCCTCAAGAAAGACATTTGCAACTGTCAGCAGAAATTCCACACTTGCACAAATATATGTTTCTTGAAGGACTAAATCAGTCACCCAACCATCTCTGACTCTTCTATACTTTACATCCATCATGTCCTTTTTGTCAAACCCAACTGTCAGTCCTATCATTCTGAAAAACACAATAATAACAATTCCTGTGAGTATCTTACAAATAACCAAACACACCAATAAAAGGCAAAAGACCTCTTATCCATTTTACCAACAGCAAACCAGCATTCTGAAGTTATTTCTCCTAGGAAGATCACAAAGTACTTCAAACAACAGACTTAGAAACTTCTGGAGCACAACTGTTTCATAAACTAGCAAGTACTCTGTAAGAAATTAGAACTCAGAATCTCAGCATATTTGTCTTAATCTTTCATGTTTTCCCTTAATTTTTCATGTTTTCATGTTTACAACTTGCAGAGATCAATAATTTAAATAGAGATTAATTTAAAAATCCAATTTAATTGCACTGATTATTTCTACTAAACTCCACTGACCATCCAGTAAGAACAGCACATAACTGAACCAGGACATTTTAAATGTTGACTGAGAACCGTAACTCTCCATTAAATTGAAGCTCTGAAGATCTTGGGATGTACCCAGAAAACAAACATGCAAATTTGGGAATATGTTTTATAAAATATTATCAAATATTTCTCAAGTAAAAAATAAGAACACTATTACCTAGGAGTTGCCTTCTTGACATGAGGCCTTTTATCATCTAAAATACAGTTTTTTAATGAGAAGGAAGAAAATGTTGAGTCATCTGTATACATTTTTGCAGTGCTTATGATATTCTCCAACTTAAATTCAGCAAGTTTCAGAGAAGGATCACGAACATCTGTAAAGGAAGTCTGTGGAAGAGGAAATCAATACAAATTTTACACAAAGTCTAATACATATTTTAAGATACAAACTATCACCTTCTCTATCTCCATAGGGTTTGCTAATGAAAGTCCAAAAAAATTAATTTAAAAATTTATTTTTTACATCACTGCCTACAGGAAAGATAACTCATCTTAAAAGGGCAATGGTTAAATCCGTTATTAAAGTGAAATGATCAGTAACATTTTTCAGAGGAAAAGAGACTCCAAAATATATATGAAATATTAACAACTGTTACTTTAATAATAAGCATTCATCCATATAATTTTCATCATGTGAGAAAATATTTTCTTTTCTCCCTAACTCACCTGTTCAGGACCTGGACTATACAGTACCATGGTGAGATAGTCGGTCCTGAAGCTCATATTCAGTGTTGTCTTAACTTGAGAGGCCTGTGAATGTATTTCTACCACGGCAGCAGTCACTACAGTTGTTCCTTGGAAAAGTTAAAAATTATTGGATAAAAAAGTCAAGAAAGGTAGAAGTCATTAAAATAGGTTTTAAATAGGTTTAATAGAACTTTCAATTAAATATGGAGAATAATGTTACTCAACAAAATAATAAAGATTAGAAAATGCAGAAGTTGAACTCAGTAACTCCCGGCTTAGGATTCTTTCTGTATTATCTTAGGAATAAAACACTTAGTGCCGCCGTTTCCATTTTTTTAAGGTGAGAATAATAAAACTAACCACTGGGTTTGTTTTGGGGATTAAATAAAAGAGCATGTATAAAATACTTATTAGATTACCTGGCGCATACTTTAATATTCAAATTTTACTTCAAAAAACTAAAACCAAACAAGGTATTTTAGAAATTTTAAACAACTGTTCCACTGAAAAGAAGGATCCAAAATTCATTCTTTCCTGCATTTTACATTTTGAGTCAAGGCATTATATGTACATGGAATATATTAAATGGGCTTTTCATTAAAACATAGCAATTGCTAATTATCATGCTACCCAACTCTAGAGACAAGTGGCACCACATCACGTAACTTATTTTTAGTTTAGGTAAAATTTACATCAGTGAAATACGTAGATCTTAGCAGAACAATTTAATGAGATTTTGTACATCCATGCTACCAACACTCCCATTAAGATACTGAATATTTACATCATTCCAGAAAGTTCTCTCATACCCTTTTCCAGCTCTTCCCCAAGCTCCCTACCATTCTAATTTTAATTACAAAGGTTAGTTTTGTTTGTTCTTAAATTCTGTATAGAGTAACATTTAAAGTAAAACCTCTTTCATGTTTGGCTTCCTGCAGTTAACTTATTTCTGACATTCATCCACATTGTCACACGTATCAGTAGTTAACACTTCCTCACGCAGTCTATGAAAATACACAATTTACCCATTCTAGATTGATGAACATATGGGTTGTTTCCAGATTTAAGCGATTATGAATAAATCTGCTACAAATATTCCTGAATAAGTCATTTAGTGTATATATACACCTATTTTGGAGGGGGAAGGAGAAATACTTGGACCTGGAATTGTTTGTCACAGGGTAGATATATGTTAATTGCCGAACTCTAAGTAGTTATACTATTTCACATTCCCAAAAGCATTACGTGAGTCTCAGTTGTTTCAAACTCTCATCAATACTTGCAGCTGTCAGTCTTAAAATCTGACTCATCTGGTAAAGTGAAGTTTTCCTGATAAATAACTATGTTAACACACTTTCATCTGCTTACTTTCCATTTAATATATCATCCTTTCCCAAGTATCCAACTCATCTGGTAATTATTTAAGTTATTAATTTCAAGGAGTTTTCAGGTATCCTAGATATGAAAACAATGTCAGATACACATATCATGAATATGTATACCAGACTGAGGGCTCACTTTTCACAATCTTGATACCATCTCTTGATAAGGAGAAGCTAAAAAGGTCTATGAAGTCTACTTTATAAACTTTTTATGATTAGTGTTTTATCTACCTAAGAAATCTTTGGCAATCCCATGATCATGAAGATACTCTTCTATGGTTTCTTCTAGAAGCTTAAAAGTTTTAGCTTTCAAATATATGTCTTTCATCCACCTCAAATTAATTTCTGTGTATGGCGTTAAGGGACAAGGTTCAATTTTTCCTGTTAAAAGGTTTATCCTTTCCCTATTGACTAGTCTTTGTTGAAAATCAGTTGACTCTACTTGTTTTCTGGACTCTTCTGTTTTAAAAATCTCTGCTAACTTGTTTTAGATTTACTGCAAATTTTGAAATCAGATAGTGTAAATCTTTGTCTTTCACAATATTTTTTTTGCCCTTTGTTTTGGGTTTTTTCCTGGCTACCTAGTCAAAGGCATTTTTACTTCTTTCTACTCTTTAGATCTATTAATCCTTCTCCTGGCCTTATTACCCTGACAATGACTATGAGTTAACCTGGTATGATGATTGTGGACATTTCTGACTTGTGTCTACTTTAGGGGGAAAACTTAACACTTCAGCATTAAGTATGCCTTTTAGATATTCTTAGTTTTCACCATAAATAGGTGCGGAATTTTGTCAAATGCTTTTCTGGCATCTATTGAGATGATTTTTTTCCCTCTTTGTTAATTTGGTTTATTATATTAATTGATTTTTGACTGTCAAACCAACTTTGCATTTTGGGATAATTCTCACCTGGTCAAGATGAAATATCCTATATCCTTATTGCTGGATTCAGTATGCTAATATGTTGTTAAGAATTTCCATGTCTGTGTTCATGAAGGATATTGGTGTGTGATATTCTTTTTTTGAAAAGTCCTTTTTTTTTTTTTTTTTTTTTTTTTTTTACCAGGGTAATGCCTGCTTTAGAAAATGGCCAAGGAATTGTTTCCTCTTTATTTTCCAGAAGAGTCTAACACTGGTATTATTTCAAACTTCAGTATTTAATAGAATTTATCACTGAAATTCAATTCCTTTAACAGATACAGGGCTACTCAAGACGTCTTATTTCTTCTTACGTCAGTTTTGGCAACTTTGTGTTTTCCAGGAAATTTGTCCATTTCAAACAAGTTGTAGAATTCATTCTCACAAAATTATTCATAATAGTCCCTTATTGTCCTGATAGCAATTTGCAATATCTATTTAATTCTGATACTGATAATTTGTTTTCTCTCTCCCTTGTCCTAAGGGTTTATCAAATTTATTAATTTTTTCCAAAGAAAACAATCTCTGACTTTGCTAATTTTCTCCATTGTATATCCATTTCTCTTCCGTTGATTTCTACTCTTATCTGTATTACTGCTTGCTTTTATTTACTCTGGATTTAATTTGCTCTTCTTTTTCTCCAGGCAAAAGATTTAATCTCTTAAACTCTTGTTCTTTCCTCATCAAATCCCTTATAGCTACAAAGTTCTTTCAACACTGCTTTAGTTACATCCCACAAGTTTTTATTAAATTTTATGTTCATTACCTTCCAGCTTAAACAATTTTCTAATTTCCCTTGTCTTTTTTGACTCACAGGTTATTTAAAACTTGTTTAATGTCCAAGTATTTCAGCCTTTCTTGACACCCTATTGCTACTGATTTCTAATTTAATTCCATATGACCAGAAAACTTCATGCCTCCCCAGAATGGTTTATCCTTGTGAATATTCCAAGAGCCCTTTAAAAAAAAAGTACATTCTGCAATTATTGAGTGTAGTATTATACTAATGTCAGGTCAGTTTGTTAACAGTGTTCAAATGTTCTATATTCTGACTTTTTTGTCTATATTCTATCAATTACTAAGAGTGGTATGCTAAATCCGCCACTGATTCTGTGTATGTGTATTTCTTCCTTTAGTTTTGTCAATTTTTGCTGCATGTTTTGAAGCTCTGTTATTAGTTACAGTACATTTAAAGCTGTTGGATCTTTTTTGTGAATTGATCCCTTTATCATTGTTAAATAAAAAAATACAAATTTTTAAAGAAACATTTCTGAGACAATCAGGAGAAAATGAAGCCTACCAGGATATTTTCATGGTTTATAGGATGTACAGCTAATTTTTTAGGGGTGATAATGTTACTATGACTACATTTAAAATGTAAAGTTCTGGGGCACCTGGGTGGCTGGCTGTTGGTTAAGTATTTGCCTTTGGTTCAGGTCATGATCCTGGAGTCCTGGGATCGAGCCCCACACTGGGCTCCCTGGTGAGTCTGCTTCTCCCTCTGCCCTTCGCCCCACTCTTGCTCTCTAATAAATAAAATCTTAAAAAAATAAAATAAAAAGTAAAGTTCTTACTGCTTAAATACCAATTAAAGGTATAACATCTGAGATTTGCTTTAATATCATCTAGTGGGGTGGGGGAAGAAAATGCAGAGTTAAAGCTGTGATAGAGGCAGCCACGTGACACCAGTTGTTGAAACTGTGTTGATGGGTATGTGTGGATTCATTACCTTATTCCGTCTACTTTGGCGTATGCGCAAATTTCAAGAAAATTATTAAAACAGTAATGTATTTAAATGTCTATTTTTCGTTTCATTTTAGACATTATCTTTACACTCCCTACTATTTAAGTCCTTACCACTTCCTCTATCTCTCCTATCTTCCTATCTTCCAGCTTTGGCCAGTTACGTCTTAATCTCTACGTTAACATGGTTAATTACATTCTTATTTACACAGTAAGTTTTCCATTTGTTAACTATAACTATGTGATAATTTTCAATGAAGAGAATTAACAGTTTATCATAACACTTTTTTTCTGCTGCTACATCACAACTAGTCCATCTCTCAAAAAAGAAGAGAATCTCTTGTGCAAAATCTTAATCCACTTCACTTCTAGACTAGACTAGATTATTTGGTAGAGATTTCTCCCTTCTTAGGAACCAAAAACATGTCTTCTTTTCCGTATCACTTATGTAGTTAATTAATCCCTCATTCTACATATTATAGGAAATTTATGCTATTTTTCTTTTTAAAGACATTCTTCCACTTTTAAAATTTTTTTTAAGATTTTATTTATTCATTTGACAGAGAGAGAGATAGCAAGAGCAGGAACACAAGCAGGAGGGAGGAGGAGAAGCAGGCTTCCCGCGGAACAGGGAGCCCGATGTGGGGCTCCATCCCAGGACCCTAGGATCATGACCTGAGCCGAAGGCAGATGCTTAATGACTGAGCCACCCAGGTGCCCCTTTTAAAATTTTTCTTATGGCATTCTGAATTCCTCTGTAATGAAACCAAGGAGTTTCTAGGCCAATAAAACAGAAAATTTGGGGATTCCTTTTCAATGGACTCCTGAGGAGGCCCATTGTTTTTGGATCCCATGTTTCCTTTTTCCTGGATTCCTTGTTTGTTTTGCTAGATTATATTTTCAAACTAATTTCTTTAGGAACGAGTATGAAAGAAGTAAACTTTGAGTCACTAGAAATTTGAGAAATGTGTTTTCACATTTTATGGTTTGACTATATATAGAATCCTAACTTCAAAATCATTTTCCTTAGAAATCTGACTATAGTGCTCCATTGTCTTTTATCATCCATCTACTCCATCCCATCCAGTTTTTTTCATGATAATCTGATCCCAATCACTTTTTTTCCAAGCCCCTAATAAACAGCTTGCTTTTGTTCTGAAACTAAAAATCTGACCTTTGTTTTTCTGACATTTCAAGAACACGTGTTTGCATGGGCAATCTTTGTTTATTCCATCTGCTTGAAACTTGTTAGATCTTTTATATCCAAGAATTTATTTCAATATTTATTTAGCTCTAGAGATTTTCTTCTATAATTTCTTTGAAAGATTCTTCTCTTCAATTTTCTCAGTTCTTTCTCCTAACATACTTATTATTCTGGATTTTGCAACTTTTGAACTTCTGAAAGGTCTATACTTCTTAAGTTTTATCTCATTTTACGTCTCTGTGGCTTATTTTTCTGCTGTGTCATGGGAGATTACATCAACTATATATTCCAACTCAGTACTTACATTTTAACCTCATGCTTACGCATTTGTTCTGTTTCAAAATTTCACCATATTTTTGGGTTCCAAGAACTCTTCCTTTTCTTGAGAGGGTGGAAGATAGTAATGGTAAGATTCAGTTTCTATATTCTCAAAATCCTCTGATTATGAATTAGAGTTTGTTTTCTGTTTGTTTACATTCTCGTTACCTGAATTATTTCAGTTTCATTCAAAAAACAGTATTCTGTTATCCTGGTTTCTTTTATGATTAAGTTCTTGCTATTTTCTTAACCTGACCATAAATATTTTAACAGTAAAGGACTGGGCTGAGTATTCTACCCAGTAAGAATAGTTTCCTATAATGTTATAAGCGCAGGGTTGTTTTTGTGTTAGGATTCTCCCTGACTGGAAAAGGTGTGTATTATCTCAGGGCTTTCCAAGAGTGGGTCTGGAAGACTAATAGGTTTCATTTGGAGATAAGTAGGTTTGAGGATCCCCCAAAATGTAAGAATGAGAACTCTATTCTTGTGAAGCACAGTCCTCCCAGCAGCCTTAAGTGACCCAATTCTCTCTTATGTGCTGGTGCTTAATTTAGAACCCAGTCAGATTCCACACACCACATTAAATCCAATATTAGATACAACCTCTTTCTGAGTTATAGTTCCCTCTGCCCTATTACACCCATCTATCTTCCAGATACTTGTTGAAATTCATCATTTACTAATGATCATTCTTTTTTGACATCCTTAATATTTTGATACTTCTAATATGAAATATTCCATCTGGGATATATACTGCACTAGGAATTAGAGAGAAGAGGAGAATGGGAAGAAAAATTGAAAATAAGGATGTATAAGGCATTTGGGATAACAAGAATAAATATGAAGGAATTTTGTCACAATACAACTAGGAATTTTCATTCAACAAAAAAAAATATCAACAGAATGCCTAATAAAAGACAATTTAGAGATACCCAGATAGGATTAGCTAATTATAAAAGATCTATAAATTTTATTTTCAAAAAACTCAAAACTAGAGAATGGAAAGGAGGGAGGAAGAAACGTGGGATTAGGAATGGAGAGGGGAGGGCTGATTTGAGGTTAAGAACATACCTTCTAAATGGTGTGAAGCATTAGTAGCTCCACTATTAACACTATTCCGATCTTTTAGTCCTGCAGGTGAGGCACCACCACCTTCTTCATACCATATATTGCTATATAATGTTTTAAAAATAGTTGTTATATCTTCTTGACTAAGAATGAACTGTGAAAAGAAAGATTTGCTTATTTTAACATTATTACTTTATGTAGTTAGAAATTCTCTTACTCTGAAAAGCAAGTGTTTCATTTCAGTCCTCTACAAACCAATTTTTTAGTGCATTAGATATTTCTAATAGGATATTCAGTTTCCTAAATGAATGATCTTAGTACTTTGAGGAATACAGAAATTAGATGTCAGTACCAATGAAACTATGAATAAGTTTTTGTTATGAACATATCAATTAAACTAATAATTTAAAACCTTTAAAATGAACTTTCATTTAGCTACTTTGCATTTTTTTACTTACTAAGCACCTCAATTTACAAATACAAATTACTCAAAAATATTGATTTGCATCATGAAAAATAATTCACAATGTGTTTTATATGAATTATTTTTTAGTTTGAACCCCACAAAAGTCCTAGGTATAAAGAATATATCCTGATTGTATAAGAAGCTGAGACTTAAATTCACTTAAAGAACTCATGCACTAACTCAAAACCCCATGTGTTGTGAATTTAGCCTAAAATCACCAACATAAGAACTGTATCGAAAGCTATGATGGTTAATTCTATGTCAACTTGCCTAGCCCATAGAATCTACATATTTGGTCCAGTATTATTCAAGATGTTACATATATGATATGTATATAGAATACATACAGGATGCACAGACCAACCACAAATACCCAGCCACCTTCTGGGGAACACCAACTAGGATGAAATTGGTTCTTCATGATCCACTCAAATAGTTAACAGCTGTTGCAGCCTGCCTCAGGAGACCACATTTTTAACCTCTCCTGAACCTCATCCTCAGTGTCAGGGAGACGCTAAAACTGAGTTATCAAGAAGTCAGTCTACTGTATCCAGACCAAGTGTATACACACACACACACACACACACACACACACAAATACACACATCCTATTGACTATGTTTCTCTGGAGAACTAAAATACAGTGAAACAAAAAACAAAACTATGAGTTTTAAATTGATATGTTTTAATCATCTCAAGGAAATAATTTTAATCCCACAAAATGAGTTTTATTTGTACCAGGATTCCTTTGACTATATTTCAAAGATGAGATACTAATCCAGTGTTTTCACTTATTCATGACACTTTGTGTTTATTATGTATCTGGTATTACAAAAATAGTATGTTCATATAAATTAGTAAGCTGAAGTTAAATATTACAACCATGTCTAAATCATTTCTTTCAATTAGTACATGTATACTGAATGCCCCCCAAATATTGAAATTAATGATCACTCTTCAGTCTTGCCAACAGCTCGGTCCAGGAAGTTGCAAGAACTATAAGGATCCCAGGACTGCTGGTCCATGGCTCCTACATGTCAGGACAGGCTATCCTGCTACTCCCAAATGTCTGACAAGTCAGAAATCACAAGATGTAGCACTTAGTCTAGATGCATTAGAGTAACTGATTCTAACCTCTCCTTGATCCAGGAGGGGTCAAATATGTGGACCCAGGTCCATACCTGCTGACAATTCAGGTGGATCAGGACAGGGAAAGACCCAATTTCATCTGCCCTGGAAGGCAGCCAGCCCTTTACAAATGGTCTGCAATATCACCTGAACATGCTGCAAGCATTCTTCCTGGAGAAGAGGGGAGCAAAATGGTGTCCCTGCTGCCCCACAGAGATCTGCCTAAGACCTGGGCCTACTAAGGAGAGGATCTGTGCAGTATGCTGGGTAAAACGTGCTACCTATGTTTTAAAAGTGTCTATCAGTTGTCTTAAAATATGGAGAGACTTCAATTTTTATCTCAGGAAGATACTTTCTGGGGCACCTGGGTGGCTCAGTTGGTTAAATGTCTGCCTTCGGCTCAGGTCATGATCCCGGGGTTCCTGGGATCGAGCCCCTGTATCAGGCTCCCTGCTCAGCAGGGAGTCTGCTTCTCCCTCTCCCTCTGCCTCCGACCTCCACTTGTGCACTTGCACTCTGTCTCTGTCTCTCTCATAAATAAATAAAATCTTAAAAAAAAAAAAAGAAGATATGTTCCATTTACAAGTTAGGGAATCTAATATGATCTTATACACTAAGAGCTTAAGAATTTTCAGTTGAGATGATGTTTTAAAATCTAAATGTATTTCTGAATTTTAAAATCTGAAACCTTTAAAAATGATGGTTTTCTCTTTTTGAATATTTTTTTGGGGGGAGAGAAACAGAAAGAAAACTGGGGGTGGGAGGAGGGAAGAGGATTTGTTGAGTAGGCTTCTTAAAGTAACCTTCCAGACAGAGTATGTGCTGCTATCACTTTAGCAAAGCATGTGATACAGTTTTGACTTCCATGCAAAGGGAAGATAGGAAATTTTGCATAGTTACATTAGAGATCTGTGAAGCAGTATCAAGCAATAGCTAGGTAAAGTTATGCATAAGGAACTGACCCATTTGCCATTTTCATCGTCAACCTCTTCCATTTCTTCTAGGACCTTCTCTAGGTTATTTCACATATTGTTGTGGCTTTAAAGACCATCTAGATGCTGATGACTTTCACATTATTATTTCTAGTCTAGCCCTCTCCACTAAGTTCTAAATTAATATATCCAACAGACTACTTATCAGATCTGACATTTGCCTCCAGTATGGAATCTACCACAATTTATAACTAAATTACATGCCTATGTACTTTCTTATAGTCTAACTATCACACCTCTAACACCGTAATTGCTAACCCCTGCATTAGAGTGGTTAGATTCCATGAAGCCAGAGATAATGCCATAGCTTCTTTGCCACTGTCTCTCCATATGTAACTCTGGACCTAACATAGAGAAGCCATTCAAATGTTTGCTGAATGAATGGAGAACATTCAATGAATTCTAAGTTAATATAGCTACTATTTCAATTTTGACAGAGCTGATCAATATGTAACATCTACACCAAAGTATCTTATGTTCCCAAGCAGTATTTTTAACCAACAAAACAGAAATCAACAAGCATGCAAAAAGTTACCTCCATGGGCTTTAGCTGAGCATTTACATTAAAACAAGGAACTTCCTGGTACCACTCCCAAGATAAATTTCGCTCAACAATCACCTCAAGATTTAACGGCAATAGCAGATCTAGTACTTCCTGGTATGCATCATCAATAAATTGAGTCCTGTAAGTAGAAATAAAATTGTTTTGTTTCATATACACTCATAGTAAAAAAAATTTTTTAATTTACACTTCTATATACAAATAGTAAAAATCAATAATCTTTGTATTTAAAGAAAAATAAAATCTACCCAGCCTCCCAAGTCAAAATGAGATATTCTACCCCACCGTGAATTTAGGTAACTTTCTCTGAGCTCAAGTTATCCATATTATAAAGAAATCAATCTCCAGAATAAGATTTTGCAATATGTTAAAAAAAAAATGCCAAAAATATATAAGTTGTAACCCTTAAATGAGAACTATCTCTATATAATCGGAAAACATACATTATAGATGACCTCATTATAAAAACAACTTAATTCACTCACTTAGGTATGGAGAATACCACATATCCCCTTAACTTGATAGCAAAGTTAGACCATATAAAATATCTACTTCTGTGGATGAAAAGCAGTTGAATATGGGAAATTTCATATTAAATTGAACCATATTTGCCTTTCCAAATATTCATAAGGGTAGGACTAATGCTCCGGAATGATGAAAACAGTAGATTATTGAACGCATTTCAATTGATAATGTGACCACAGAAGCCTCTCACTGTGTTCAAGCGACAACTTCAAAGTGGTACTGCTTAATAATGTACTTACATTTTAACTGGCAGCAAATTCCAAATGCTTCAACTAGGGTATGTATGAAGCTATGACTGCAGAATTTTAGATTCATTTACTCAAGTGGAGAGAAATATGGGAGTCATCAGGGATCTCTCAGAATGCCTAGTATCATACCATTTTATGAATTAAATGCACACATGCTTGCAATCTCCACTTAATGGGAATAAGTTAAGAAATCTAAAAGGCTTATAAAGAATATTTTAAATGCAGTTTTATTTTTAAAATTATTTTTAATTTCTTAAATTCCAGTATAATTAACATAGTGTTATTATTAGTTTCAGGTGTACAATATACTGATTCAACAATTCTACACATTACTCAGTGTTCATCAAGATAGTTGCATTCGTAATCCCTTTCACCTATTTCCCCCATCTCCCCACCTACCTCCCCTCTGGTAACCATCAGTTTGCTCTCTATAGTGAAGAGTCTGTTTTTTATGTTTATTTTTAGTTTGTTCATTTGTTCCTTAAACTACACACGAGTGAAATCCTATATATTTGTCTTCTGAATGACTTATTTCACTTAGCATTATACTCTCCAGATCCATCCATTTTGTTGCAAATGGCAAGATTTCAATAATTTTCCATAATTCCGTAATTTGGCTATAATAAATAATGCTGCAATAAACACAGGAGTGCATATATCTTTTCATATTTGTTTTTCATATTATTTGGGTAAATACCCAGTAGTGCAATTAACGGATCATATGGTAATTTTGTTTTTAATTTTTTGACAAACCTCCATACTGTTTTTCACAGTGGTTGCACCAGTTTCCATTCCTACCTACAGTGCACAAGAGTTCCGTTTTCTCCACATCCTTACCAACACCTGTTGTCTTGTGTTTTTGATTCTAGCCATTCTGACAGGTGTGCGAGGATATCTCAGTGTGGTTTTGATTTTCATTTCCCTGATAACGAGTAATGTTGGGCATCTTTTCATGTATCTGGGGCCACCTGGATGTCTTCTTTGGAGAAATGTCTGTTCATCTCTTCAGCCAATTTTTTCAACTAGGTGTGTGTGTGTGTTGAGTTGTGTAAGTTCTTTATATATTTTGGATAATAACCCTTTACCAGATATATCATTTGCAAATATCTTCTCTCATTCACTAGGTTGTCTTTTTGCTTTGTTGGTTATTTACTTTCCTGGGCAGAAGATTTTTATTTTGCTGTAGTCCCAATAGTCTATTTTTGCTTTTGTTTCCCTTGTAACTCTTTTCTCTTCTCTTGCTGCTTTTAAGATGCTATCACTACTTTTTCCCCATTTTAATTACTATGTGTCTTGGTGTGGACCTTCTTGGGATGATTTTGTTGGAGGATCTCTCTGCTTCCTGGATCTGGATTTCTGTTTCCTTCCCCAGGTTTGGTAAGGTTTTGGCTATTATTTCTTCAAATATTCTGTCACCTTTTCTCTCTTCCCCTTCTGGGATCCCAATGGTGTGAGTGTTATTACACTTCATGGTGTTGCTGAGTTCCCTTAATCTACTTTCATTTTTTTATTATTCTTTTCTCTTTCTCTGGTTGCCTGATTGCTTTCCATTGCTCTGTTCCCCAGGTCGCTCATCCATCTTTCTGCTTCCTCTAGTCTATTTGTTCCCTCTCATGTATTTTAAACTTCAGTTACTGAGTTATTAACTTCTGATTGGTTCTGTTATGTCTTCTTTCTCTTTGTTGAAGCTCTCACTGAAGTCCTCCCCTCTTTTCTCAAGTCCAGTGAGTATCTTTATGACCATTACTTTAAATTCTCTGTCAGGTATATTATCTCCATTGTGTTTAGCTCTCTTGTTGTGATTTTGTCCTTTCATCTGGGACATATTCCTCCATCTCCTCATTTTGTCTAACTCTGTCTGTTTCCATGTGTTAGAAAAATCAGCTATGTCTCCTGCTCTTGAAAGTTGTGGCCTTATGAAGAAGCCCTGTAGCATTCTACAGTGCAATGTTCTTTGTTCACCAGAATGTGGTGCTTCAGGAGTATCCTCTAGATGTTATGTGCACCCTACTCTGACTGAGCTGAATTTGCCTTCAGTCCTGTTGCCTGAGATTGCTCTCTTTGCCTGTTGTGAGCAGAGTTTGGTCCCTGTGTTGTTAGTAGTCCAGTCTGGGGCCACCCACTGACTTGGGTCAGACCAGGTGTTTGCCAGAGCAGTGGTAGCAATGAACTACAGATGCCTCTTCCTGTGTTGTCCCTGAGAAGCTTTTGTTAGTGGGTGGGGACTGCAATCAGACCAGATGTCTGCACCCAGCCTACTGTTGAGGCCATAGGTGAACCGCTGTGTGTGGTTATTTCCCTTTACCCTGTTGTAGGAGTCACTTTGGAATGGTGCTGGCTGGTGCTGCCTGCACACTGCCAGGCCTGTGCCACCTCTTTGGATGGACTCCTGCCAAGGGCATGTTGGAGAGGGAAGGTCCACCAGAGAATGTGGGGGCAGAGTGTGTGGTGCCAGCAAGGTTTGCACTGGTCTGCCATGGGAGGGGACCTCCAGGCAACTAGGAAAACTGCCCAGCCAGGATGGTTGGAGTGGGTCTGCAGAGCATGCAAGCACAGGGCGCATGATCAGCAAGCTGGGTGGAGAGTGTTTTTGCTGTGCTGGTTCCCACAAGTGTCCATGTATCTAGGCTGTGGCGCAGGGGAGGGTAATGGCAATGGTCAGCTTCTTTGTTCTTGCATAAGACCCCTATCGCTTCTGCACACGCTCTGAGATTAGTAAATAAATCTTCCTGTACACCCTAGACATTTTACAAACTGCTGCTTCTGTGCTGTATCTCAAGGGGGGCTGTTTGTTGTGCTGTCTCTTTGATGGTGGGTATTCAGTCTCCCACTGTGCTCTGGCTCTCCCAGAGCCGAGCCTGTGGATTTTTTAAAGTTCCAGGTGTTAAGCCCCACTGATTTTAAGAACTTGCTAAGTTATGCCCCGGTGATTTTTCAAAGCCAAATGTTATGAAGATTCATTTTCTCAGTGGGGATCCCTGTGCCTGGGGTGGGATCTGTATCTCTCCCTTCTCCATGACCATGGGTGTCCCTCCCTCCTATAGATGGACAGCCTTGAGAGTCAGTTTGGCTCCCCATCATGTTTCCGCCCTTCCTACCCTCTTTGATGTGGCCTCTTCTCTACATTTAGCTGCGGAGAGTCTGTTCTGCCAGCCTTCAGGTCGTTTTCTGGGTTATTTATACTGATTGTGAGTATTATCTAGGTTTATCCATGAAAGGAGGTGAGTCTAGGATCTTCCTACTCAGCCATTTTTCTCTGGAAATTCCTCATGTGCAATTTTAATAGGTGCCTATTATATGACATATAACATAAGTCATTTTATCAACCTTCTGTTAAAAAGTTATGTTGCTTTTAATTCTTCACTATAATAAATACTTGGATTATCTTTGTACATATCTTTGAGTAAATTTCTTCTTCTGGGCAAACTGTAAGAAACATTAATTACTGTGTCAAAAGATTACTTCTTTAAAAAAAATTCTCCTTATCAGTACCAACCAATATCTGGGGTAGATACTTCTCCTATTCTCTCCCACATTCTATCTAATAGTATTTTAATAGTTTATTGTCTTGTCTGCAGTTTCAATTAGAATAAAAGCTTCATGAAAGAAGGGACTATGTTTATTTTATTCTACACTGTACTGCCAGTCCTTCACTTAGGTAACTGCAATTGTCATGTGCTTTACAATTATCTGCTGAAATAAGGCAGAATGTCACTTTGTCTGACACCTCAGTTGGGAACATAGGCTTTGGAGATCAACATTTCTCATGGCTATGCACAAGAAATAACTGTAAAAGTATCATGAGTATTGATTTTGGGGTTACAAATAGGTTTTAGCAAGTGGGAAAATTCACAAATATGGAATCTGTGAATAACAGGATTGACTATATATGTGAATAATTAGAATATACATACACAGTTGTGGTCAATCGCTGACTTTCTATTCTGTTTTATTATTTTAATTATTTTACTTCATAATACATTTTAGAAGTATTTAACACAATTCAATCTATTTTAGTAGTACCTCAAATGTTATGATGTCTCCATTCTCCAATTTCTTCTTTAAAAAAAAATCTTTGAGACATCTTGTCCCCTATTTATAGTTCAAAAAAACATTTCCCAATTTTTGAAAGACTTTAAAAAGAACTATTTGATTTTTATTGAGAATGCATTAAATGTATAAATTAATGTATACAAACTGACATCTCTATATTATTAGGTCTAGGAAAATATTCTGTCCACATTTTTTCAAGATTTCTTTCTGGTCATTGGTTAGGTTTTACAATTTTCCTCATAGAAATACTGTAAATATCTTTTCAAAATTTTACATTGCAATTAATAGCTCTGCAACAAAAAGATTTCAACAGAGGTGGTCACAAATATGAAATACTTATTTGTCTTTATGTGCTTTACTCTGAAGCTGTAACCAAACTGAATTTCCAAATATCAATAATTTTAAAATTATTTCAGAGGAAACTGGTTATACTCTATAACTAATTCTATTTCTAGAAATTCATCTGTAGGAAATGAATTATCCTAAAGACTTGAGTAGAATGTCATATAAGTATTGATGAACAATTATATCAATCATTACAGTGTTATTTATAACAGCAAAAGAACCTAGGATGAAATTAACTTTCTAACACCAGGCAAATGAATTTTTAAAAACCTGTAGAATAAAATGAAATATTTAGAAAAAAGAAGTTGAACTCAAAAGAACATGGAAAAATATAGCATACTGTTAAGGGAAAAAATGAATTTATGATCCAAAATATACAATATAATTCTTATTTTACTCAAACATATGTGCAGAAATAATGATCTAGAAGAAACACACCAAATTATTAATAGTACTTACCTTTGGGTGGTCATATTGTCAGCAACCTTTTCTATTCATCCAAATACCATTTTATGTTTTTCTTCAATAAAAAGTTAACTCATTTTTGGACATAAAAATAATACTTTTAATGCTCTAGAGATATTTAGTGAACTCTTTTCAAAACAATCTGTTTGTAATATAGGCTCACACCTAGTTTACATCTACCATTTCTTGAAATAAGGCAAGATATGATTATAGACAATCTTTTTTAGTAAATTTAGACTTTTATACAGCTTAAAAAGTTATTGAGCCATCTAAAGTTTAAATTGTTACTCTTTAGTGTATTATTAAAATAGAAGTCTCTCACCCACTATTTTCCTATGATTTTTGAATTATCTGGACTTGGCTGAACAAATCATTCTACATTTTCCAATGTCTTCACTAAATGTATTACCTTAACTGAAACCTGGCTTTCCATGGAGCTCTATTAAATAGAGGCCAATTTTTCTCCCTATCAATTTAACACCCTATCAGTCTCAGGGTTAAGAGATATAGAAATCATTTTCCTTAATTTGCAGTGATACTCCCCAACTCTCACTCCTATCCCTTTAAGCATAATATCAACCAGGTTTACCACCTTCTACTTCTTGCTTTAATCAATCAACAACTAGTCAGTGTTTATTTTTGAAGACTTTGAGATTGATGAATCTCCAGTTCATAAACCCCTCTCTACATTCTTTTACTCTATCAGTACCCTCTTGTCTTTGATTTCTTCCATCTCCATTATCCATCAACATGGTGGATATTTAACGATCTCAATATTTAACAATCCTGTTCTACTACCTTGAGTCACACCTGCTTGTTAAAAATTCAGTCTTGCCTGAATCTAACACCAAGTATCAAGTATTACATAAAAAAATATCATGTACTATTAATTCATGGTTAACAATATCAAAAGAGTCCTCAACATTGTCTCAACATACACCCCCTGGACTGCCCCCCATCTCTCTGCCTGCTCTTTCTTAGTCTCTTTTGAGAAATGTATGTTCCTTATGTTTTGGCATTTGTGAGCATTCTGTCCCATATGTCACACTCTAAAAACTGTGTGATAAAGGCTTTAATGACTACCTAAATATTACTAAGGACTCCCAAATCTAGAAGTCCAAACACTCTAATATCCATACACATGTCCAAGTGCCTTCCAATCTCTTTCTATATATCTCTATATCAAAGTCAGACAACTTCCAAGTTATTTTGCCCAATAGAGAACTCAATGTCTCTACTCAACGGTTTTTTCTGCATTGCTCTATCTTATCTCCGTGAACTGCATTATTACCAAATACTGAATTTTACAAACCTGCAACCCAGTCAAATTTAACTTCTCTCCTTGAATCCTAACATCCATTCAACAATCTCTGACTATAAATTCTACTTTTAAATTTCTCTTTACTGGTTAGTTCTCCACTACCTCACTTCCCTACCCTAGACAGCATTACATATAATTCATATGTGAATCACTCCAGTAGTTAGTAAACCATTTTTTCAACCTCCAGTGTTGTCTCCTTTTCACCTGGTTTTCTACAACCCCTCCAAAATCTAAATGTGATCCTAGTTTTGTGCATCAGCTCAGTAAATTCATTAAATAACACCTACATCAACAATGAGGTAGGTACTATTTATTCATCCTTTGTAAAGACTGTTACTAAACTTCTTCCTAGCACAGTACCTGGGATATACTAGGTGCTTAATAAGTACGTAAATACTCAATTGATGAAAATTTCTCCTTCCATCCAAGATGAAATAATGTAAACCAAGCTTACCATCGTGCCTGAAACAACTCCCCCTCACCAAAAAAATCCACATAAAAAACATTAAAAAGTGGTTTTCAAGACATAGAACATCAGGCAACTGTCATTTCTGAGAGGTGGTAAAAAAAACAAGGTAAGCCCTAGGATTGCCCCAACTTTCATTGTTTTGAGATAATTTACAGGCCATGGTAAAGGGAGGGGTAAGCCAGGAAAAGACCGGCAAAGTCCACCAAGTTGAGAAGACAGAGCTGAAGAGTCTAAAAAGAAGAAGGCAGCTAAGTTCATATGGTAAAATGCCAGAGAGAAGAGCTATAGAGAGAAACTCTGAAATTTTAACACTAAGTGTCTACATTAGATACATTCAAAGCGGTAATCTTAGCTACCACCAAAAGATACCTACAAAAGGAGCAAAATTAAACCCAAAGTAAGCAGAAAGAAATAATATCAGAGAAGAAATCAATGAAAAAGAGAAAAACAAGACAGGAAATCAAAAGGTAGCTCATTAAGATTAGTAAAATGACATAAAATTATAAATATCAAGAACTGGGATGATAACACTACAGATATTAATGAATAACAGGATTATTATGGACTTTATGCCATAAAATTTTACAACTGAGATGAAATGGACTAATTTCTTGAGAAAATATAAAAGATCACTTAAGAAAAAAATAATTTTAATAATCCTGAGTTTATTAAAGAAATGGAAATTGCAGTTGAAAATCTCCCACAAGCAAATTCTAGGCCCCAAATGGCTTCAATGGTGAATTCTACCAAATATTTAAGAAATACTACAACTGTACACAAACTGTCACACATGTATCCATGTCAAAACTTTCAAACTGTATAAAGATATGCAATTTATTACATGCCGATTATATCTCAATATAGCTGCCTTAAAAATATCAACTAATAGAAATAAGGGCCAGAGGAACCTGGCTGGCTCACCTGGTAGAGCATGTGACTCTTGATCTAATAAGGATCATGAGTTTGAGCCCCATGTTGGGCATAGAGCTTACTTAAAAATTAAAAATAAACTAAAATTAAAATTAAAAATTAAAAAAATAAAGAAAGAAGGGCTGGAGGGAGCCAGACCAACCAGAGGTCAAAGAGAAGTAGAGGTAGCAAAATAAGGGGAATGAGACAAGGAAAATGAGATCAAAGAAAAATGACGGGGGAAGAAGAGGGCAAGTGAGTGGTATAAATAGAGATGGATCCAAGTCAGAAAAGAAAGAGAGTGCTAAATCTAGAACAGGGGATTAGAAATAGTACGGAAACACAGTTAAGTAGTTCTGGAACTCTTCACTTACTCTCTTATTCTCCTAATTTGTATTAGGAGATTCACTTATTCTCCTAATTTATAATCCTATGCCCAATGATTGCATATGATTGTATTCCACCGTGTTTTATTTTGTTTTAAATTAGAGCATCAGATCCACAGCACGAAGCTGATAGAGTAGTTTGAGCAATGCTGTATTTACTAAGTGAATAAATGTATTATATTAGAAATTCTCCCACTTTTTTCATAACCTTGTAATTTACAAAGAACTACAAATAAGCACAAATATACATCCTCAGATAGTAAATTGTACAGTGTTCCTAATTACCTAAGAAGTGATTTTCAAATACCATCTAGGTTTTCAAAGAACTGGAAGAGTATAATAGATCTTGCCAAAAACCCTGGGGAAGAAAAAAAATCTCAAAATTCAGTAGTTATATAAAATAAAATCTCCCTGTAGACAGAAGACTCAGGATACCAAAACCTTTAATGTAAAAAACAAATGCATTCTCCACAAATGTACTTAAGAAAAGCTTACCTGTATAGTCGCATTTCACTCAACCTTATTGTTATCAAATCAATAACGGGTGGGGGGTTGCTCTGGCTCTCTGTTATTACATGGAATGTGTTTGTCATTGTAATTAGTCCAAAATCAGCAACAAAAACATTTTCAGAAACTGGAGACTGTGGGATGACTACCACTGGGGCTTTGATGTTAACATCCAATGCCATTCTAGAACTCCTCTGTGCCAATTCTTTTACACCAGTAGCAGCCATTCCTGCTGCCTGAACAGTAGCCTCAGCCAAGGCTTGTTTAGCCGCTTGAAAATTATCTATAAAAGCCTAAAAGATAACAAAATTATATTCTTACAGTTACCATTAATTAATGATTGTTAAATATATCTTGATAGTTTTGATTTCACCTCCATGAGAAAAATTTTTTCTTGGTACAACCAAGCATTCTTTATTCAAAGTCTGGTTGTCCGTATTAAATCTCAATTTTCTGCAATTTTAAAAGTTGAGAAACACTAGGATACAGAAACATAGTGAAAAAACAAAAATTTTGTCCCTGGAACAGAGCAACATGCGGATATTGCAAGGTTTCACTGGAAACTCCTTCCCTTTATTATCTGACTTTTCCTAATGGCTAAGCAAGCATACTATATTTCCCTATAGAGCCTCAATGGACAGCTTATTTATGTTTGTAAGATAAAAAGTAACTGAAAAAATAGTAAAATATGTTTGTCAAGAACTCTAAAGTTTTTTTAATTCTGAACTCTAGAAAATACTTCAATAACACAAAATATATCTAGAATTATACTTAATTTTAAAATTGTACTTCATTTTCATGTTTCAAAACAATTTATTTTCAGTAATTTTTGAGTGAAAGGCAGGGCTTAGGGACATAATGATTTTTATTTATAAAAATAAATCAGAATAAAAATTAGACCAAGGATGCTTGTTCATCTTTACTACTTGTGTATGAAAAAAATTTATGGCTATAGAAAAAATTGTATTGTAACCTCAATTTAAAAGATCACAAAAATAGCAATATTATTTATTTAGAATCAACTGATTATCTAGTTTATACACCAAAATTTAGAGACAACATTTTTTTTAAAAAGTGAATACTGAAGTCATAGAGACAGGTATGACACTCACAGGAAAAAATTATCAGCTGACAGCAAGGGAAAAACACAGGGGGAAAAAACTATGAAAAGGAGAAAAAGGACTCAAACACCTTATGGCAGTTATCATACAAAGATTAATTTTAAACTTTTTAAAGCCCCAGATGATGACGGTTATAATATGCAATAGAAACTATAATTTCCATAATGATTACATGAGACCAAAACAAACTTCAATTATATATTTAGTATTTTTAATTAGAATCTTAAGTCAGGTAAAACAAAGACTTAAACCAATTATATATAAAGAATTCAATTGATATATATAACAAATCCTATATATGGTATATAATGTACATTAGTATGCATGTTTGAATTAACTGGACTATTCCTATATGAAAATGATTTTATACAAATAACACACTATGCATTTCAGTTATGATAAAGGATACCCAGAAAATTATGAAAAATCAGGGGGAAAAAAAAAAGCAAGGAATTTTTGCTCTTTACCTATGCTGACACCTGGCAATTTCCAACTAGTAGGCAAAAATAAAAAATTTGATAAACATACTTACCAATATAGAATAAAGAAATTTTGTGATAAAAACTACTTCAATGCAACCAACAGTTAAATTAATTTGAACGTCAACCACATTCATATCTGTGTATGCAGAACCAGCAGTTGCATCCACAAAAGAAATCATTTTGAAGCTAAAAACTTCTTTTCCAGTGATGTAAACAGCCTTAATGAGGGAAAATTCAACTGTCAGAATCCATTTTTAAAATGTGCTTTCAGTACAAAAATAAAGCACAAAATAATGAAACATACACACATATTTGGAAAATATTCTAAGTATTCAAGCCAAGTACAAATAAAGCAGTAATTCTAACACTGTTTGTTTGTTTTGTTTTAACATAGGCCCCACTCCCAGTGCAGAGCCCAACGCAGGCCCGGACTCACGACTCTGAGAGTGAGAGCTGAGGTGAGATCAAGAATTGGATGCTCAACCAACTGAACAATGCAGGTGTCCTCTAACACCTTTATCAGAATCTACACTGCAAGGTTTTTCAAATTGGTGATGGCGGCTTCCTTTCTGGGTCATGAAATTAGTTTAGTAGGTCTGGCCCAACATTTTTTTTTAAATGGAGAAAACTGAAGAAAAATGATCAGACCATACGTTTTCATTTAGTGCATATACTTGTATAATGAGAGTTGCCATACGAATGTATTATTTGGTCACTGTAAAAAGTTTGAAAAACACCACCTCTGCAACTTAATGAAACCTACTTCTCTTGGTTTATGTGAATAGGTTTTCCAGATTTTTCAAAAATCTCCTCCTATCACTATACTTCTCTTACTCGTTTGTGAAGGGTCATCTCAACTGCTGAACAAGACTTACTTAACAGCAGTTTGAAATCTCAAGCTCTGCAATACTAGTGAAAAATGGTAGAGACAACAGCACATGTGAAATGTCAAAAATATTTTTGAAGATGGACATATCAACTAATTTCGTTGATATATAGCTTTCTTGACCCTCTTAAATGCTAAAAGGCAGAAAGCTGAAGAGCCATCAACAAGCAAATGAATTCCAACATGGAACAAAGAAAACCTAAGGAACCAAAGAAATTAAGGAGCTCTGGAGGCTGAAGTGCAAGATGAGGTTGAAAAAAGTCTACAGGAATTCTGCTTCTGTCTCAGATGTAGAATGCTGGGCAGAGGCCCATTCCAAACCTTAACAGCAACCACAACAACAACAAAGAACCAGATAAAGTATAAAATCAAAACTTTTCTAAAAAACCATTATAAATTTGAGGCTACAAGCCAACCAAGCAGCCTAAAATCTAAGGATAAAAAAAAAGTACCTTCAGGAAAGACAGAACACAAGCACCCGCTCACCTGTGTTAAGGGGAAGGAGAAAGAGATGCCAGGTACCATACAAGCTAGATAAGAAGAATTCAGCTAAAATGGTAAAGGTGGACTATGGACTAATGTGAGATATAGAATCTCTGGCAGCCACAGACCCAAGAGGAGTTCACTCCCAGTTGCAAGGACTTCACTGGGAGCTCTCTGTTGGGAGCTTATGAGAAATACTGGGGGCAGAGTAGAAGATGAGAGAAAGCTTTCCTTGGTTATGACCCTGGAAGAGGGAGAAGTCTTCACTGCAAAAAGGGCCCAAGGACCACCAGGATTATTCTCTTCTCAAAACCTTAAGAAACTAGGAGAGGGGCACCTGGGTGGCTCAGTCAGTCAGCGTACGACACCTGGGTTTTGGCTTGGGTCATGATTGCAGGATCCAGAGATCCAGCCCTGCCTAGGGCTCTGCACTCAGTGGGGAGTCTGCTTAAGAATTCTCTCCTTCTCCCCCACCCCTCCCCCCATTCACATGCTCTCTAAAAAAATAAATAAATCTTAAAACAAAAAACCCTAGGAGGGATACAAAGGCAATACTTTGTTGCCCTCAGGAACAGGTGAAGATACTACACCTCAGGGGCTAGGATAAAAGAAAACTCCTTCTACACCCATGGGGAGAAATCTTCTAGGGGCCTCAACATTCTAGGTCATCTTGTCCTAGGGCAGGGAAGAATATTCTCTCCCACACAGGAACTACAAAGATATGAATCAAGGGCGCCTGGGTGGCTCAGTTGGTTAAGCGACTGCCTTCGGCTCAGGTCATGATCCCGGAGTCCCGGGATCGAGTCCCACATCGGGCTCCCTGCTGAGCAGGGAGTCTGCTTCTCCCTCTGAACCTCTTCCCTCTCATGCTGTCTCTCATTCTCTCTCTCTCTCAAATCTCTCTCATTCTCTCTCTCTCAAATAAATAAAATCTTTGAAAAAAAAAGATATGAATCAGATACCATGGAAAAGAGGGACAGATTCATCAAGAATGCCCTATTTTTTTTTAAAGATTTATTTATGTTAGAGAAAGAGCAAATGCAAGCATGGGGACGGTAGAGGGAGAGAGAAGCAGACTCCCTGCTGAGTGTGGAGCCTGACACAGGGCTCCATTTTAGGACGCTGAGATCATGACCTGAGCTGAAATCAAGAGTCGGGTGCTTAACTGACTGAGCCACCCAGGCACCCCACAAATGCCCCATTTTAGAGACCTAAAGGAACAGGTATGGCTAGGACTGAAACAGGACTAGGACAACTGACAAGCCTACCCAAAACACCTCCCCTACAACAAAATACTCACCATCAAGCAGGCAAGCACTGATGAAAAAGCAGCAGTAAACTATCATCAAAAAAACAGTCAAGAGTACAGAAAGAGAAATTTCTAAGGTATGGAAGTAGAGGGAAGACCAAATGCATAGCACGGAGCAGCATTCCAGGAACAAAGTCCCCATCCTAAGCACAAAATACAGCTGAAGGAATCTGAAGTAGTGGTATAATTAAGGCAATCACATTAAACAAGAAAACTCAAACCCAGCTCAGCTCTCCATTAAATTGTCTCAACCTCCATGCTAATAGCCTAGCAGAAAAAGTACCCATTATCAGACATAAATACTATTCATTTCAGTATGTGTCCCATACATGATCTCTCACATTCAATCAGTAACTAAGATACACTGCAAAAAGCAAGGAAAAACAAAACCCAACAAATGACAAAGAAATCAACAGATCCAGGCCTGCCCGTAACACACATGTTGGAACTTTCAGGCAGTGAATTTTAAGTTCCTATGATTAATATAGTAAATGCTTCTAGTAGAAAAGGTGGAAAATATGCATGAACAGATGAGTATCAGCAAAGAAACAGAAAGAAGAATCAAGAAAATATTAAAGATTTAAAAAAAAACCCTGGTGGGGCGCCTGGGTGGCTCAGTCATTAAGCGTCTGCCTTCGGCTCAGGTCATGATCCCAGAGTCCTGGGATCGGGCCCCGCATCGGGCTCCCTGCTCCACAGGAAGCCTGCTTCTCCCTCTCCCACTCCCCCCGCTTGTGTTCCCTCTCTTGCTATGTCTCTGTCAAATAAATAAATAAAATCTTTAAAAAAAAAAAAACACCTTGGTAACAGAGATGAAGAATATCTTCTATGGTTTATTACGTGGGTTCAACAGAGCCAAGGATAAAAATCAGTGAACTTAAGAACAGCTTAATAAAAATTATCCCAACTGAAACAGGAAGAAAAAAATGTGGAAAACACTGAACAGATGAGTCAAAGGTTGTGAGACAATGCCTAACAAGAATCTAGTAAGAATTTTTGGAATCCAAGAGAAGTAAGAACAAGGAAGAGATGGAAAAGGAAAAGGAGGGGGGAGGAAAGAGAAAGAGGCAAAAGAACTATTTGGAAAGATAATGAAAAATAATGTAGACAAATGCAAGAAGCTCAGAAAACCGCAAAAAGAATAAATATTATAATATACTTACATACATCTAGACACACCATACACAAATCCTGAAAGCAGGCATATAAAAATGAGAAATATATACAAAGGAAAGAGATAATATTACAAAATTCTTGTCAAAACCATGTATAAGAAAGACTAATGCAGCCACATCCTCTAAGAGTTTGAAATGGGAGGAAAAAAGCCCTATCAACACAAAATCCTATACCCAGCAAAAATTTCAAACAGGAAATGAAAGTGAAATAAAATTGTTTTTTTGTTTTTTTTGGTTTTTGTTCCAGTTCTCATCCCTCCATCCCCCCAAAAGCTGAGAGAATCCAGTACCAGCCAACTTAAATTGTAAGAAATGATAAAGTTCTTCAAGGAGAAACAAAATTGACAGAAATTTGAAGCTACATGAAGAAATTAGTTCCAGTGATGACTAGAGTAAACTTAAATATAAAAGATCTTTTTTTAAAAAAATTTATTTCTCTAAAGAAAATTGACTAAACCAGATGAACCATGAGAGACGATGGACTCTGAAAAACAAACTGAGGGTTCTAGAGGGGAGGGGGGTGAGGATGGGTTAGCCTGGTGATGGGTATTAAAGAGGGCACTGGGTGTTATGCACAAACAATGAATCGTGGAACACTACATCAAAAACTAATGATGTAATGTATGGTGATTAACATAATAAAAAAAAGAAAATTGACTAAACCAAAATCAGTACACATGTATTATGGATTTTCAGTTTACACAAAAATAAAACATAGTACAATAATGTCATGGAAGATAAAAATTAGGAATTGATAGTATTATAAGATATACTATACATGAAGTGGTAAAACATTATTACAAGGTAGACTGTGATTAAAAATATGTATTGTAAAACCCAAGGGAAATCATAAAATCAATGATAAACAATTAATCCAAAATTAGGTTAAATGAGGGGAGGCAATATAACAAACAGAACAAAACAACCAGAAAATAGAAAATGATTAGAGAGAGAGCAAATTTCAAACCAACCATGTCAATAATTGGATTTTTTTAAATGGCCCAGACACCAATTAAAAGTCAGAGATTGTCAGACCGGATAAAGAAGCAAGACTGAAATACATGCTGCCTCTGAGAAACCCACTTTAAATATAAAGACAGATTAAAAGAGAAAGGAGAGAAAAAGATATACCATGCAAACACTAATCAAAGAAATCTGGAGTGGCTATATTACTACCAAAGCAGACTTCAGAATAAGGGCAATTACCAAGGACAAAGAGAGATACTCCATAATCACAAGAGGGTCAATTCACCCTGAAGGTATAAAGTTCTATATATGAGATCTCTCAACATATGAGGCAAAAATAGAGATAAGTGAAAGGAGAAAGAGACAAATCCACAGTTGAAACTTCAACAATCCTTCCCTGATAATCAACAGAACTAATAAACAGAAGATCAATAGCTTGAAGAATCCTATCAACCAACCTACATGCTCTAACTGACATTTATGGAACATGCAACCCAGTGACACCCAGATATACACAATAATTTCAAGTGTACTTGGAGCATTTACGTTTTATGGCCCATAAAACAAACACTAACGTATAAAGAACTAAAAAAGTTTCTTCTCTTACAACAGATTTGAACTGGAAATCAGTAACAGAAAGAAATCTGAAAAATATTTCAAAATATTTGGATGTTAAACAACAAACTTCTAAATAAACCATGGGTAAAAGATAAAGTTATAAGAGAAATCAGAAAATATTTTGAACTGAATAAAAATAAACATATCAGAATTTATAGGATACAACTAAAGCAGTGCTTAAAGGAAAATTTATAGCAGTAAATGCCTGGATTAGAAAATAAGATCTCATGAAGGTAGAAAATAAAGAGGAAAAATAAATGAAATTTAAAACAAAGAACACTGAACTGAACCAAAAGCGGGTTCTTTGAAAAGATTAATAAAATTGATGAATCTCTAGTCAGACTGGGTCAAAAAAAAAAAAAAAAGAGAGAGAAAAGACAAAAATTAAAACTGCATATGCTAAGAAAGAATCAGACTCAAAAGATACATACTGCAGTATTCCATTTATTTAATGTTCTGGAAATGGCAAACTACAGGGACAAAAAACAGACTCCTAGGTGCCAGGGTGGGGAGAAGGGGTAACTACAAAGGGCAGGAGTAACTTCTGGGAGGTGAGAGATTGAATCTATTATCCTTAAAGGTGTTGGAAGTTACACAGTTGTAGGCAGTTGTAGGTGTTCAACAAAATTCCAGGAACTATGCCCTAGAAAGGGTAAATTTTACTAAATGTAAAGTAAACCTGGATTTAAAAAGGAGAAAAGAAACGAGGAAAGAATTCTATATAAGGGTTACTGAGGCCCTTTATAGCCTCCCAAATATGCCAAGCACCTTTCTGCCACAACCCCTTTAGAGCTGCTATTTCCTCTACCTGGAATGCTCTTTCCACATCTACAATTGATTCAGATTTCACTCAAATGTTCAGAAAGGGATTTCCTGATAAGCCTAAGACAATATTAGAATCACTATCATATTACCCTACTTTATTGGTTTTCAAAGCGCTTATTACCCCCTAATAACATTTTTTATTATTTACCCCAGGAGAGGGACTTTGCATTTTTTGTTGACTGTAATATTCCAAATGTTGTTAATAAAATAACAGACTATTTTCCACAAGTCACCTGAGTGACCCTGTGACTACCCCCCTCACTAAAGCCCAAGAGAAGAAAAGAAATTTGCTTAAGACAGAGTTTAGAGTAGAGAGGATATGGCATAGGAGATACCATGTGCAGGAAACGGGTAAATAAAACTGAAAAATGTGCATTTTTAGTAAAAATCTGTAAATTGAAAGGTGAGGTCTCCAATATTCCCCAACCATTCTAGCTCCTAGAATCTAGACTATCAGGCTTATATCTATAGTACTTTTCTCAAAGGAAACTGATCGGCCTATGAGAAAAAAAAAAACCTTTATTCTCAATTTCTGAGGCGATAAAATTACTATATCAGTGCCTGATCATCTACTGTTACATCTATCTGTCCAAAGTCCAATAATTAGAAATACATACATACCACCCAGAATTAACAAACATTAATAAGTGGGTAATTTTTGTAAACACTTTTAAAACACTTCTATAAAAAAGATATAAGAAACTAATTTACAATGAGATCTTATTTCATAAGAATGTTAGATCAGCTAGAATCCTCAGATTCTATGTTTTTCTATATTATTTATAACACACATAAATAACAATTATCTGTACAATGGTTCTAGGGTAAATAGAGGATGCTGCTTCAGGGCAGATTCAAATAGTCTGAGAACTCTAGGTATCCTTTATCCAATTTCCCAAAAAAGCTGAGGGGGCTAAAACCCATTCAGGGCACAATAGTCTGTCAGGGCACAGTAATTAGGAAGCTTTGAGCTGGGGCAAAATGTTGTCCCTCTAATTCCTTGAAATGTGGAGAGTTACTGAAGCAAGGCAGTTTGTTTAAAAATCAGGTACATTGGAGGGGCACCTGGGTGGCTCAGTTGGTGAAGCCTCAGACTCTTGGTTTCAGCTCAGGTCATAATCTCTAGGTCATGAGATCGAGTCCTGCATTGGGCTCTGTGCTCAGCACGAAGTCTGCATGAGATTCTCTCCCTTTCCCTTTCCCTCCCCTTTCGTTCCCCAGCCTCTCCTCCCCATCCCCACATGCACTCTCTAAAATAAATAAAATCTTTAAAAAAAAATCTAAAGAATTATGTACATTAGAATCAAAGTCAAGGAATAGGGAGAGGGAAATGGGGATGGGGCAATAAGACCGAAGTAAGAAACTTTTCATTTTGTAGCTTTTTGTAAATTGATTTTTTTTTAACCTTATAGATGCATTCGTAATAAAAATAAGGAGAAAAAAAGTAAATGCCTTGGGTTACATCATCAGTTCCATTACTAACTACTTGTATGACTTTTAGTAGATGGACTTATTTATGTGAGCTTTACTTCCTAGACAGGGCAAATAAAATGGATAATCTACTTCTTAAATGCTTTAGTACTTTGTTTTTTTCTTAAATAAAAGCAATAGAAGCACACTAAATCATGGATTCTGGAAAATTTCTTGTTCCGTATTACTGTGGACCACACACATTTGATGCTATGGCACTCTTTTTATCTCACGCTAATAAGCTGTAAGAAGAAAATATAAAGAGTAAGGATTTTTATTTAACATAAAAATCAGGTCATCACTGTATCTCATCAGTTTTATTGGCTAAGCGTATTCACTTATTTCCTTTCACACTCCAAACTCTGACTTTGTGACTCAAGAAGTACCTCAGCCTTTTCTGATCCTACTACTTGATATTCTCTTCACTCTCTTAAATATACCATCTTACCTAGAGGCTCTGCTGTTCAAAGATTACCTGCCCAACTCTACAACAGTATCTGAACCAAGAACCTTACCGTCTTATATCCAGTACTAATACCTATCCCTTCGACCACTAGCCATCCAGGTCAGAGGCCTCTGTTAACATTGTGAACAGCTATACCATAGTGGGCACCCATGAAAATAAACTTAAAAAATAATCTCATCTGTTCAGTCTGACTTCACACCCTCTGCCCTTAAAATCTGAAATGCATCACAAGGTTCACAGTATTTGAAGAGAAGAACAAAAAGAAAACAAAATGAGAAAGGTATTTACTAACTGCCCCTCCTCAGCCCCCAACTATGTAACAGGAGCATTATGTAAACTTATTTATGAGATACTTAATCCCCATTTTACAAATAAAGAAACAATTTCAGTTTAGGTCACTCAACTGCTAAGGAACAGAGCTAAGATACAAAACCAGTTATGCCTAACTCCAAAACCCTTCCACTTAATAACCCACATTGCTAAATTCTGACACCTAATTTATACCTATGACCAATGTTTAAGGACAAGCATATTTAATGAGATACTATTAAGTAACAGAAACAAATTCATACCTTTTTGTATACAGCTGTCTTATCAGAATCCAAAACAATTATATTCCTTAGCTTTGCATTTATTTCAGTTGCGGCAGGCCTCATAATGATCTCAGAATCAAGCCCTAAGGGAATACAAGGATGATTAAATGGCTCTTCTTCTTTCAATTAATAGTTCTGAATTTATTTTTTCTGAAATTTTATTACCTTCGATCTTAATTTCAGCAATGTTACGTTTCTGATCTTGAATAAAGATCTGTAAACAAGATAACTCTGCTAAAATCTGCAAGGTAATAATATCTTCGTTCTTGGATAGTTTTAACGCTGCAAAAAAAAAATGTCAGACAAAAGGAAAAAGTTTAGTAGTCACCTCACTACCCTTATAAAGTAACTGAAGTATAAGAAAAATTAATGATAATACTAGAGGAAAATCTGATTTGCCATTCCACTGAAAGCAAGCAAGATATCCCCACTTAATTAGGAATTCTAAAAACAAAAAAACAAATAAAAAAACCAATCAAACCTAATGAAAACAAAGCCAAACAAATCAGACACAACAAAAAATGGTTCCTAGATGAGACTAACATTTGAAACTAAAAAATTATAGTTGTAAAATCAGAAATCATTTGAGACACAATGATTACAAGGTAATACTTCTCATTGTCAAACATGCAACTTTTCATTGCTTAATAAGTACTTAATTAAAAAACACACTGAAATGATTCAAATTTTCTTAGTTCTATTTTTCTAAGATTATGAGATTAAATGCATTAATTTTAATCCAAATCAAACACTAGCACTATATAATATCTGACTAAAAAGAATAATATGATAAATAAAAGCCACATTTTCTTAACTGGTAATCACTTTCTTTAAGTATCATTTTCTACAATTTACCTGGTATATAATAATCTTTCTAGATATTAATCTAGGCAATAGAATTCTGAAGCCAATATTATGCATGAATAATAAAGCAAAAGCTAATTTATTATTGATCCACATGGTAAAAAAACTTTGAAGCTGAATTTTAAACATACGCATTTTTTTAACGACCTCTCCTTTGTCTTCAGTCTCTGTAACAGACACTGGGGCTGGTTTTTCTTCCAATTGTGGAATTATATTATTAAAATAATTTATTGTATTCAGAAGTGCTTCAGTATGTAAATGAATATCCAAAGAGGAAAAATTCACCTGAAGAACAAAGCTGATTTTAGTAATAGGTCAATAAATATTTGTTTGCTGCTCAGTATAAGGCACTACGGTTTGTGAATTATAATATTTATAATATTCCATTTTTATCCTCAAGGATCATACAGTTCCAGTTATAAAACAGTTTTCATAATATATTTACTTAGAAATACAGTATCTAAATTAAATTATTATTCACTCATACCTTAATCAGTTGCACAGCATTGTTATAAGTACTTTTCAAGTTGGGTAGATTCTTTTCAGCCTATCCAAAGAGAAAAAAAAAAAAGCAAATCTGTTCGACTATCTTAGGAAGACATATAGTATATCAAATTGCAACTCCATAAAGGCCTTCCTAATTCTTCCTCTATGCGACAGAATTGTCTATCAAGTGTCCAAATACTGTGCATTATCTTTAGATCTAGAATGCTTGTCATATAAAAGCTATTAAATGCATAAACAACAAAAACTCTAAAATATCTACATCAATAATAGTAAAAATGGTCTTAAAAGCGATAAAATACTCTTTCAGCATTGTTACTATGATAAAGCATTTTTTTTAATATTTATTTATTTTAGAGAGAGCGTGCATGAGGGTGGGAAAGCGCAGAGGGAGAGGAAGAAAGAAACTTCAGAAGAATCCTCACTGAGACCATGACCTGAGATGAAATCAAGAGTCCAACACTTATCCAACTACATCACCTAAGCGCTCCTCATTTTTTTTTAAGATTTTATTATTATATATTTTAGAGAGAGAGAAAGTGAGAGGCAGAGCACACAAGTGTAGGGGGGTGGGACAGAGGGAGAGGGAGAGAGAAACCCAAGCAGACTCCATGCTGAGCAAAGAGCCTGAGGTAGGGCTTGATCCCACAACCCTGAGATCATAACCAGAGGAGAAACCAAGAGTGGGAAGCTCAACTGACTGTGCCACCCAGGCGCCCCTATGATAAAGTAATTATTAAATTAATGTGGCACTTACATAAAAATAGGTCAATGAAAACATGGAATAAATCTTAACTAGACTCTAGTATATAGAAAAACTTAACAAATGATGAAATGAGTATCATAAATCAAAAGAAAAGGAATAGAGTCATTGAAACCAGGAAAATGAGGTAACTTCAGATAACAGTGGGAATCAAATGAAAGCCTCATCTTGTATCATATGCCATAATAAATTCCATCAAGATTAAAAGGTTTGGGTTTTGGGGCGCCTGGGTGGCTCAGTCGGTTAAACCTCCAACTCTTGATTTCTGCTCAGGTCATGATCTCAGGGTCATGAGATCAAGACCAGCGTCGGGCTCCATGCTCAGAGGGAGCCTGCTTGAGATTATCTCTCCTTCTCTTTTCACCCCTCTCCCCTATCCCCCACCCCAATGCATGCTCTCTCTCTCTCTCTCGCAAATAAAATAAGATTTTTAAAAAAAAGGTTTGGGTAATTTTTGGGGGGTGGTTATCTGATGAAGGGAAAAAACTCAAAACTTCATGTTAGTTCTACTTAGAACACGGGCCTATTATTTTTCTATATTGTCTATAAATTAAAACTAACAAAGGATGACAAAGTAAGAAAACCTTAAAGTTTCAGGAGTTTTAGAAAACACATTAAAATGAAGATTAAGCTGAATCTAACTTACAAAAATCGATTACATTAGTCACAGCAAGCATACAAACCACTTACCTTCACATATTCCAATGTTAGCAGATCTTCCATCGTATTATCCAGTGTTGTAATCAAATAAATTGGTTTCTTGTTTGCATCTAAAAATGATTTTTTAAATTACTCTTTCATATAAAAAATAATGGAAAATAAATATCAGCAACAATAATAAAATATAACTGGAAAAGAAGAATTTCCTGAATCAGTTCTGGGCCTCAGATCCTACCTTACCCAAATCAGGTCCCTCCTCCTTTATTATAAACTCTTTAACTGTAATTTCTCGCCACAATTCCCTTCCCATCTCCTATGCCACAATGTGAAACAATCTTACCCTTCTAAACTTAGATAGGAAGGTTAAAAAAAAAAAAAAGTAGCAATCAGTTAAAGAAAAAACAGAGTAATTATTATGAGCAATGAATAGACATGAAGGGAATTGTGGCCTTGAGCCACAGAAATACCTAAAAAGAAAATCGTCAGACTCTCTGAAAACCTATTATTTTTGAGAAGACAGATCAGATATATGATGAGAAACTTAAGTTGTTCTGTATATTAGTTTAGAGTAGAATAAACCCCATTGCCATATAATTAGTCTTCACTACTTGTATTCTTGATTCTGATCAAAACTTAAGAAAATAGGAAAACTGCTGTAAAACAGTATTTTGTATAAGGGCTTTAAAACTATCACCACCAAATTATTTATGACTACTCAAAATCAGTATCTAGTGGGAGAAAGGACTACAAACCAATCATAATACTTTTGAGGAAAAATGCAACATATTCCACAGAATCTTCCAGATTTAAAAGTTTATTAGCTATTCAGCCAGCTTTCTACTTCAGATGCTACTTGCATTTCAAACCTTAAAAAGGTCCTGACTTTTCTCACACATTTATTTATCCACAAAATTATTTACTGATCATTTATAAGAAACTATACTATTCACTTGGTTTTCTGCTATTGAGTTATAGGAATTCTTTATATATTTTGGGTATTAACCACTGATCAGACTTATGATTTGCATGTATCTTCTCCCACTGAGTAGGTTAACTTTTCAATTGGTTGATGGCTTCCTTGGCTGTGCAGAAGATTTTTGGTTTAATGCAGTACTACTTGTTTAATTTTGTCTTTGCTCTTGGAGTCAGATCCAAATAATCAACACAAGACTAACGTAAAGGCACTTACTGCCTATATTTCCTTCCAGAAGTTTTATGGTTTCAGGTCTTCCATTCAAGCCTTTAATCCATCTTAATTTTTGTGGATGGTTTAAGATAGTAGTCATAGTTCAGTTTCATTCTTTTGCGTATGGCTGCCCAGTTTTCCTAGCACCATTTATTAAAGAAACTATCCTTTCCTCATTTTATATTCTTGACTCCTTTGCCAAAAGTAATTGCCCATACATGAATGGGTTTGTTTCTAGACTGTTTTTGGTTCCACTGATCAATGGGTCTGTTTTTACATTGGTACCATAAAGTTTTATTTTATATCAGTAGCATAGAAAACTTTGTAATATATTTTGATATCAGGGAACATGATGCCTCCAGTTTTTTCTTTCACAAAACTGTTTTGGGTATGTGGGGTGTTTTGTGGTGACATACAAATTTAGAAGTGTTTTTTCTATTTCTGTGAAAAATGTCATTGGAATTTTGATAGGGATTGCACTGAATTTGTAGATTTGCTCTGGATAATAGGAACACTTTAATCATGTTAATTATTCTAATCCATCAGCATAGACTACCTTTCCATTTTTTTGTCTTTTTTTTTTTTATCACTGTCTTATAGTTTTCAGTATACAGGTCTTTCACCTCCTTAAATTTATTCTTATGCATTTTATTTTTTTTGATGGAACTGCAAATGGGATTGTTTTTCTTAACTTCTCCTTCTCACAGTGTATAGAAACCCAAAAGAATTTTGTATTTTTCTATCCTACAACATTCCTGAATTTACTGATTAGATCAAACAGCATTTTGGTGGAGCCTTTAAGGTTTTCTATATATAATATCACATCACCAGCACATAGTGACAATTTTACTATTTGGGTCAACAAAGAATTACTACAGATATTGACAATTTTTTACTAAGTCAAAAAAGAAATCAAAAGAAAAAATTTTAAAAATACCTTAGGACCACTGAGAACATAAATACAATATACCAAAATTTATGAAATGCAGCAGAAGTATTTCTAAGAGGGCAGAGCACAGCAATAAATGCTGCCTCTTGAAACAAGAAAAAACTCAAATAAACTAAGTTTATACCTCAAGGAACTAGAAAAAGAACAAATGAAACCCCAAATTAGAAAGAAATAAAATATCAGAAAAGAAATAAAGGAAAAAGAGACAAAAAAAAAATTGAAAAGATCAATATAACTAATAGCTGGTTCATTTCAAAGATAAGCAAAATGCACAAACCTTTAGCTAGATTCACCAAGGAAAAAAGAGGGCTCAAATAAAATCAGGCATGAGAAAGGAGACATTACAACTGATAACCACAGAAATACAAGGATCGTAAGAGACTATGATGAAAAAATCCTAACACTAACAATTGGACAACCTAAAAGAAATAGATAAATTCCTAGAAACATACAACCTTCCTAGACTTAATAATCAAGAAATACAAAATACACATAGACCAATTACTTATAAATTCAATCAGTAATCAAAAACCTCCCAACAAACAAAAGTCCATGACCAGATGATTTCACTGATGAATACTACCAAACATCAAATGAAGAATTAATACTAATCTTTCTGAAACATCTCTAAAAAATAGGAGGAAACACTTCCAAACTCATTTACAAGTCAAGCACTACCCTGGTACCAAATCCAGACAAGAATACAAGAAAATAAAATTACAGACCAATATTTTAGATGAACATAGATGCAAAAATCCTCAACAAAATATAAGAACAATAAATTCAACAATACACTGAAAGGATCATACAACATAAACAAGTAGAATTTATTCCAAGGATGGTTCAACATCCATAAATCTGTTAATGTGATATACTACGTTAACAAAATGAAGTATAAAAATATTATGATCTCAGTGGATGAAGAAAAGCATTTGACAAAATTCAACATCAATTTATATAAAAACTTTCACACAGAGAGGGAACATTCCTCAACATAATAAAGACCATATGTAACAAGCCCATAGCTAACATCATACTCAATGGTGAAAGCTGAAAGTTTTCACTCTAAATCAGGAACAAGACAAGGTGCCTACTCTTGTCATGTTTATTCAACATAGTACTAGAAGTCCTAGCCAGAGCAATCAGGCAAGAAAAAGAAATAAAAGTCATTCAGATTAGAAATAAATTGTTTGTCTTAATCATTCCATCAACCATTTAGAATTATCTTACAAGAATAAATCCAAAAATATAAAGGAATATACAAAATACCCTCTCCTAAATGCCTAACACAGTAAATGGAAATATTATCCAAGATATCATATAATTTATCCATTATGATCATGGGACATAAAATGTTTATGGTAGACAAAATAATGCTATGCCCTGACACCCAAGGATATCCATGTTATGTCTCCCTAAAACCTGAGAATATGTTACCTTAGATAGCAAAAGGGATTTTGCAAAGGTAATTAGGTAAAGAGGAAATTAACCTGGATTGAGATCAGAGATGACAACATGAGAAGGATCTATCAACCTGTACTAATTCTGAGATATAGGGAACCAAATGCAAGGAATTAGGGAGGCCTGTAGGAGTTAAGGCCAGCTCTCATCTAACAGGTAGCAGGAAGCAGACTTAAACCACATGGAAATGAGTTTTGGCAACAACTGAATGAGCAAGGAAATGGATCTTCCCCTAGAGTCTCCATACAGGAGCTCCAATTGACACCTTGATTTTTATGTGTTAAGACTTATGTCAGACTACTGATTAAAAGAACTGTAAGACAACAAATTTTTGTGGTTGTAAGACACTAAGTCTGTGACATTATCAACAGGAAACTAATTCAGCATTGTAGTATTGAATTCGTTAGATTTAAAATTAAACCAGGACTATTTTATTTTCCTTTATGAAAAAAATTATCTTCATTTTGTCTTTGATCTACCTTCCTAGATTTCCAAGTATAAGATAAAAACTGAAGACCAACTCATAATACAGTATTTCTTTGAGAATGTTTTAATAAATGTACTGATTCAAAGCCTAAAGAATTTTAAACTCTCTAGTAGGGAGTCAAACAATAAAGTTTGTTACTTTAAAAAAATTGAGATGCTTACCAAAGTGTTCTGGGCATTTTAGGCAGAACTCTTTCAAAAAGGCATTTGCTTTCAAATCAAATGTTCTAAGTTCAACATCTGTGCCCAATCCTAAAACATCAACTTCTACCACAGGTACTTCAGAATCTCCAACAAGGTGATAAAACTGAATCAAAACCTAGAGAAAAAAGAAAAAAGAAACTACCACTACCAAAATAAAAAATTATTTATGTGGATGGTGGTTGTAAATGGATATATAAGGCATACATATGATCTGTATTTAAAATTTAGGAAAGATTTTATATCACACATACCTACACATTTATGTTGTACAATTAACTATTTTTAATAAATATGCATCAAATACCCATAATATATGATCTAAACTCCTAACTTTTGATTAAGAAAATTAATCCTCAAAGAAAGGGAGGAAAAATCACATAGCAACATCTGGATTCAGCTTAAATTGGATGAAACAGGAGTACATGTTAGTAATGTGACTATATAAAATACACTGAACAGCAGCAATGACAAGCAATTTAAAGAAGCCATATTAATTTTACCATGGTACATACCTCTGGCACTTCAAATCTTATTTTATACTGAATCATATTTTTTGAACAATCCAGCTTTTGAAATTTTTTCTGATAACTTTGAATTTCAGTGGGAGATTGAAGAGGTTCATCCAAGGGACTACATGGTGCATCAAAAAATTCTTCCTCTGAATCTAAATATTATAGAACATTGTTTAAGTCAATAATCAAAATGACTGAATAACATTTTTATAATTTTTCTGAAATAAATATGAATACAAATATATTAGTGGTCTAAATATTTCAAAATTTGAATAAAAGATGAGAAAATAATAGAGAGTATGTCTGAAAATAACATTTTTGATGACAAAAAATACAGAAAATATAAAGTTCAACTTTAGATTAATAAACATCACCTTTTAAAGTCATTAGTCTAAAAATTGCAAACAAAAGTTTTATTTTTTATTTTTATTTTTGAGAGAAAGAGAAAGAGAATGTGCATGCACCAGCGGGGGTGGGGAGGGGCAGAGGGAGAGAATTTTAAGTAGGCTCCATGCTGGGCTCCCCCAACACAGGGCTTGATCTCATGACCCTGAGGTCATGATCTGAGCTGAAATCAAAGTCAGATGCTCAACTGACTGAGCCACCCAGGCGCTCCACAAAAGAAAATTTTATAGCAAATGCCAATGCCAATGATTACATGCAACATGAATTTTCAAAGGAACACACTAATACGCTTGCTCTACCTGGGTAACAAAAATAGGAATGAGTTATAAAATCTGCAATATTAAAAGAACAAAGCAGGTCCTGAGGTTCGGATGAAGAAACAAGATCAATCACTATTTCATTCATGTGTGTGTGTGTGTATGTGTGTATACACACACATATATATAATAAATTTCTAGAATTTACTATTAAAAACACTACAAAACTAATAAAACCATTAAAAGAAGATTTAAAGGAAACTAAAACCATCTAAGGTATATCCCTAACAACCAAAAACTGAATTTAGGGTAGATGATCTCACAAACATCTCCTCCCTGCCCCTTAACCACACAGAAAGAAAAATGTTCTGTAGAAAACTGAAGACTGACATGGTAACTTCAGTTACGTAACATTTAGCAATTTTTAAATCCTTAAAAATAGAGAAATAGGTTTACTTTTCTTTCCAATGTGGCCAAGATAAAGCAGGTATCTGATGTCAAAATATTTACCAGTTTCCATAGTGTGAATGTAGGTATTAAGGCTTGATTTTTTCATTTAATAAAAAAGAAAAATACAAAAATAAAACTAAAGCTTTACTATGACAAGATTCTCCAAATAACTAAGTAACATTATAAATTATATATCAATAGTTTCATATGGGCTCCTAGCTCAAAGGAGGATGAAGAAGATTAACTTACTAGTGGATTTTGTGAGATTATGAGTTTAACTTTTATTTACCAAAAATTCCCGCTGTAAAAACAACTTTAAGGAACATCCAAATTCTATTATCTTAAAGGAATTTTAGTGAAAATTTCTGGAAAACATATACGTATCTGCTGTTGCCTACAATTTTTTGTATAATCTCAAAAGGAAAATTATATTCATAATACATTTTAATAAGGAGAACTTCCTAAACCAGTTTTGTTTTACCATCATCAACACATGGAAGTTCCAAGAAAGGAAGCATTTTCTGTGAAATCTGTGATGTTCCCAAAGAAGTGGACCTTTGAATCTGGAAGAAAAGTAATTCACTATTAATTAGCATAAAGATTTTTATTCAAAGTCGTAACACAATTTTGACAAAAACAAACAAAAAATCTCACTTTGAACTAAGAAAAAAAGTCCAGTCTGAATTAGGAAAATAAATTATAAAATACAGATTTAAAGAAGTGGTTTTATGGGGCGAATGGGCAACTCAGTCGTTAAGCGTCTGCCTTCAGCTCAGGTCATGATCCTGGGATCGAGCCCCGCATTGGGCTCCCTGCTCGGCGGGAAGCTGCTTCTCCCTCTCCCACTCCCCCTGCTTGTGTTCCCTCTCTCACTGTCTCTGTCAAATAAATAAAATCTTTATTAAAAAAAAAAAAGTGGTTTTACAACTTCAAGGCTAAACAGAAATCACAGAACTGTTATATTAATTTTCTTGTTGACAGGCTTTGAGTAGGAAAAGATCTTAGATACAGTGTTAACTCAACGTCTCACTAAATAAGAAAACCATCTCAGGACATCCACAGAAAATAACCAGTCCCAATATTTAAAACTCTACAGAGTTGGGAAGTTTGCACTTCTACTTTTCATTTTCTGAAAAATATTTCATTAAATTGACTTTTTTACTGCTTTGAGAAATATGACACATAAAAACATATAATGCAATTTGATAAAATAATAAGACATATCTGAAACTTCTACCCAGGCCAAAAAACTAAGCAGTATTATACCCCTACCTAGAAGTATCTCATGTGATCTTCCTTGATTATATGCCCTACAATTTGATCACAATTTCACTTCAATTTACTTGTTTTTAACTCCTATGCATGATTCTTTAACATGGTTTATCCTCTGCTTCTTTCTAAACTGTACAAAAAGGGAGTATCACACATATTTTCGTATGACATTCTTCTACAAAATGTTTAAAATTTATCCATATCGATTGTTCATTCTGCCTTACTATATTGCATATTTGATGAATAAACCACAACTTATTTGTCCAGTACACTGTTGATAAATATTTGTATTGTTTACAGATTTTTTGCTTTTACTCATAGTGCCACCATAAACATCCTTGAACATGTCTCCAGGTGTTCATACGTCAGATTTTCCATGGTGTTTATATGAAGGAGTGCAACTGCACATGTTCACCTTACTAAGTAGTATCGAACTGTTTTCACAAGTAGTTGCAACACATTAAACTAATGTCAGCAGATTAGAATTTGTATGGCCGCATAGCCTCATAAATGCTTAGTGTTTTCAGACATTTTAAATTCTGGCAATCTTCCTGGCAATTTCACCTTAGCTTTAAATAGAATTTCACAAGTGCATTAGAGTTATATATCCTACACAGGTTCATGAGTTGGGTTTGTCCTTCTCCAAATCCTTTTGTTTTTTGGGAAAACATTTTTACTGAAACATAATCTACTACATAGGAGTACATTAACTAAGTATAAGGTTCAGTAAGTTGTCATAAAGAAAACACACCCATGCACCCAAAATCCAGATCTAGGAATAGAACATTACTATCAATGCAGAAACCTCCATTGTGGGACTCATGATCATTAGGCATACCCCCCAAAAGAACTATGCTGTCCTAATTTCAATTTTTAATGTTCTGAAATTTTTTACATCTACATTAATGATAGAATGGTTGTTTTGCATTTTCCTGATGAGTAATAAAATTAAATACCTTTTCACGTGTCTGCTCATGTTTTATTGGGCTATTGCTCTCCTTATATATTTTGGATAAAGTATTTTGTATATTATGTATGCAAATATTTTTTGCAATTGAATGGCTTGCCTATTTCATTTTTAACAGGTGTCCTTCAAAAAGTAGAAAATTTTAATTGTCATCAATTTATTTTTCTTATTTGTGCTTCTTTATCCCAAGACATCTTTACCTACCACGAGCACTTACAGATTTTCTCTTATGTTTTTTGTTAAAGAAACTATACTTTTGGGGCATCTACATTTATGCCTATGTTCCATTTCAAGTTAAATTCCATGTGTTATTTTTTCCCCACTTAGAAATCTAGTTATTTCAAAATCATTTATTGAAAGAACTATCACATATCCCCCACTTATTTGGGTTGGCATCTTTGTATGAAATCAAATATATATATTAACCATGTATTATACTGTACATTTATATCCAGGCTTTATTCTACTTCATTGATCTGTATGTCTATTCTCATACCAAACAAAACCACTTTCTTTAGTAAAGTAGCTATAAAATAAACCTTGAAATCTGGTATTAGAAAACCCTTAACATTATTCTTATCCAAAATCGATTTGGCTAAAATTATGGAAGCAACCTAAGTGTCCGTCGAAGATGTGGTATATACATGCAATGCAGTATTATTCAACCATAATAAAGAATGAAATCTTGCCATTTGCAACAACATGGATAGATCCAGAGAGTATGGTGCTAAGTGAAATAAGCCAGAGAAAGACAAATACCATGTAATTTCATTCACATGTGGAATTTAAGAAACAAAGGAAAAGAGACAAACCAAAAAACAGACTCTGAACTACAGAACTACAGAGAACAAACAGATGGTTAATTGGGGAGGGGGGATGGGTGAAATAGATGAAGGGGCTTAAGAGTACACTTATCTTGGAAGAACAGGGAGTAATTTAGGGAAGTGCTGAATCACTATATTGTACACCTGAAATGAATGTAACACTGTATGTTAACTATACTGGAATTCACATTAAAAATAAAGGGTTTTAGCTAATGTGTCCTTTACATACTGTATATACTTTATAATTAGCTTGTTAATTTCCAGGAGAGAAATCTTCTGTATTCTGATTGAGGTTGTGAGAAATCTAGAGAGTTTGGAGAAGACTGCCAACTCAATCAGGTCAGGTCTCCAATCCTTGACTATGCATATCATTCCACTGTTGAGGCTTTCTTTGTTTTCAGGAATGTTTTGTAGTTTTAGGTTTACAGGTTTTGTACTTTTTTTTTTTTTTTTTTAATGTACTTATTTGAGAGAGAGAATGCACACAAGCAGGGCAGTGATAGGAGGGGCAGAGGGAGAGGGAATCTCAAGCAGACTTCATGTTGAGTGTGGAGCTCAGTCTCACAACCCTGAGATCATGACCTGAGCTAAAATCATGAGTTGGTCACTTAACCACCCAGGCACCCCACCTGCATAGGTTTTAATCAAGGAAGAACAGAAAGTGAGATTCACAATAGCAGTTTTTACCAATCAGAGGACATTAGCTTAAAAATTGCAACAAGTCATTATACACCAAGAAAACCTTAAAAAATGCAAGTATATTAATGGGTCAAGTTATTTCCTGAATATCATATTTAGGCATATCTTTTCTCTTTTACTTGACCAATGCGTACATGGCAGGATCAGATGAAAAGAACAGATTAACATTTTTGGGTAAAAGCTAAGGTACATCTAACTTAAGTACACCTCACCCAGAAGTTAAATTTTATCTACATTTTTAGAGATTTTTATTTCCAGTTTGGAAGACAATATATCAGGAGGAAAAGTATTTAAACAAAGCAAAATGGATTCTATTCAGTTCTGTTCTTTTTAGTCAATAATTTATGTTTGTAATACCTTGGCAAGTAGTCAAGTTCTACAGATTCATTCCCTCCTGAAAACTTTTCTCACAATGTGTTCTTTATAGTTACCATTAGATATGATAAAAATCTATGCATAAATTATAAATTATCATACATTGACTAGTTTTGCTGTTTGATGGCTTCACTTTGTTCTCATTGTCAGTTTATTTCTATGATTCTTAATCTCAGAAGTAGATGGAAGGCAAGGGTTTCTAGTAAGACTTTTAGGGTTTTCTGAAGTTTTCAGAGATATTCTCTCCCAGTAGTCCCATGCTGAAAGATTGGAACAGAAGCCAAAATCCAAAGGCAGAAACCCTGTCAGAAGTTGGAGTTTTGCCTGTGACTTGGTGGACCTGTTAAACAACATCCCCATTGCTCCTGGTCCCTGATTTATTCCTTTACTTTCATTGAGTCCTCTTCTCTTTGTCTTCGTGGTAAAAACCTGCCAGATCATATAGCCATGTTCAATTTCAAAAGAGTAGGGAAGTGTGATTCTTCCACATGTCTTCCAGAAAGTGGTCAGTTTTCTATTCAGAGTTGCTGCTATTCTTTTCTTCCATCTCCTGTTGAGTTCGTAGGTGTTCAGAATGGTTTGATCCCTCTCCAGCTGAATTCCTGGGACCAGACGAAATCCAGGTCTCCTTCTCCTCTGCCCCCTCAGGTTTTGTACTTCTTTTGTAAATCTTTTCTTAAGTATTTAGCCCTTTTTAATGTTGTGATGAATGGACTATTTTTCATTTTTAGAAACAATTATTTACACTGATAACGTATCTTGCAAACTTGCTATTACTAGTGTTATTTTTCTACATTCCTTAGGACTTTCTGCATGAATGATCACTTCATCTGCAAATAAAGATAGTTTTACTTTTTCTTTCTAATCCTGTCTTTTTGATTTATTTGCAAAAGCTAGAACATTCACTATCAACTTGAATAGAAGTGGTGAGAAAAGAGATTCTTGAACTATTCCAGATCTTACAGGGAAAGCATTCAGTCTTTCTCAAATTAAGTACAATACTAACTATAGGTTTTTCCTAGATGTCCCTTACCATGTTGAAGAAACTCTTTTTATTCCCCATTTGTTAAGAGTTTTTAACCATTGCAGCACCTGGGTGGCTCAGTGGGTTAAGCATCTGCCTTCAGCTCAGGCTGTGATGTTAAGGTCCTGGGATCGAGCCCCTAGTCGGGTTCCCAGTCAGCAGGGAGTCTGCTTCTCTCTCCCTCTGCCCCTCCCCCTGTTTAGTCTCTCTATTGCTCGCTCGCTCTCTCAAATTTTTTTTAAAAAGTTTTTATCATCAATAATTGTTGGGTTTTGTCAATACTTTCTCCTCTTCTATTGAGATGATCATATACTTTTTCTCCTTTAGTCCATGAATATGATTAATAGCACTGACTGGTGAACCATTTTTGCTTTCATAAGGTAAATGCATTTTGTTATAGTTTATTATCCTTTTTATATGTCATACTATTTGGTTGTAGTATTTGTTAAGGATTTTTGCATCTATGTTAATGAACGTACATCTCTATAGTTTTCTCATAATTCCTTTGTCTGATTACAAAATAGGACAATCTATGCAAAGAAACAAGTAAGGACAGCCCATTCACATACAAAATTAGCAGACACAATTCAGGAGGAAGGCACTGGATTTACTACAAAAGGATTTTTTTTTTTTTAATGCCTCAAATATGCTCAGAAAGCTGAAAAGGACCACAGAGAAAGAGCTAAAGAAAATCCCAAAAACGATGTCACAACAAAGAAAACAACAATGAAGAGACAAATTTTAAGAAGAACTCAAGGAGAAATTCTGGATCTGAAAAGTGCTAGATAAACAAATGAATATCATTATGGATCCTGAAGTCATCTGAAGGATAAGGACATATTAGGAACAACATTACTTCCACATAGTCAACATCGTGGATGAAATGAACAAATTCCTTAACAGACAAAATCTTATAAAGGTCATGCAAGAATAAATTGATACTGTAAACAGTCCTGTAAAAATGAAACTTGAAAATCTTTCAGTAAAGAAATTCTAGGCACAGATGGCTTCACTGGTATTTAAGACAAAAATAGTATCTACTCTTTACAAAAAAATCTCATAAAATAAGAAATGGGGGAAACCTTTTCCAATTCATTTTACAAGGCTGGACTTCCTCTGATATCATATGCAAACACGTAACAAGTATAAACCAGGATCCTATATGAACATAACTACAAAAATCCTCAACAAAAACTTAGCAAATAAATCCAACAATGTACTAAAAGTATCCTGAGCAAAGGAGGTTTATATTAGGAATGCAAGGCTAGTTTAACATTCAAGAATCAAGTATTTCATCATATTAAAAGAATAAGAAGAAAACTGAATGATTACAACAGATGCAGCAAAAGCATTACATAAAATGCTACAAATATTCCTGACACAAATAAAACTATCAGCTAACTAGAATAAAAGAGTACCTCCCTCAACCTGGGAAATAACATGTAGGAAAAATCTACAGCTATTATTATTCCTAATAAGGTAAGACTAACTACACTCCTGCCACTGAGGTCATGGGTAGTAGCAGCTTGACCCACTGAAACTGAGAAAGTGGCACCATTCTTAGAAATCCAGGAGGGAACTTTATCCCCCAAAACCCATACCTTTTGAGCCCATGTTGATAGAGGCACCTCTGTGGATCTCAGAATAGCCTTCGGGATTATTCTTTTCCCTTTTACTGAAGAATAAAGCACGTTCCCAGATGGATGGCCCTCCTGATCCCAGGACCCTGGGATCATAACCTGAGCTGAAGGTAGACGCTTAACCAACTGAGCCACCCAGGCATCACACCTTAATAACTTAAAAGCAAAAGCTCTGGCATGCCAAAAATAAATGAATCCAAGAAAAAACAAAAAAATGTTTATAAAGGACAAAAAGCAACAATTTCCTTCCACAACACAGCACAAGACATAGTTTTCAAAAACAAAGTCAAACACCCACTAAACTTATGAACAGAAGTCCTATGTTACTTGTAAATGCAAATCAAAATCAGAATATAACTTTTCATTTAATAAATTTTAAATTGTTAATACAACTAATGGGAACAGAGAAACACTCATTTACTGCTGGTGGGACTATAGATTAGTACTCAATTTAAAAAAGAAAATTTGGCAAAGTTCATGAAAATGTAAAATTCACTAAGCAATTCCACTTCTACAAATTTATCCAGTGGATAAAAATATACCCAAATATATGTACAAGGAAGCTGAAAGCAGTAGGTTATAACTGTGAGCACTCATAACAATATCAATGTTCATCAAAAGGGGATTATGTTAGGCAAATGATGGTACACTTGCACAATTCAATACTATATTGCTCTGAAAGTAAAAGATAGATCTATACGTGCTAATATGAAGATATCTCTAAGGTATATAAAATATGATAATGGTGAAAAAATATAGATTCAGAACAGTAAGTATAATGATACAATTTGTGTAAATTTTAAGAACTTAAGAGTACATATGTATATATACACACATGAGCATGCCATAGTATATGCCATAAACATTTTTGGAAAACTAGAGAAGTGGTTAACAGTGTTACCAATAAGGACAGTGACTGCAAGCCAGACAAAGTGAAGAAAAGCAGACTTATCACATAACTTTCTTTACTATTTGTACCTTTTACTCTTTCATCATTTTCTCTTTTACAATGTAAAAAAAAAAAAAATTTTTTTTAGAGGGGGAGAGTAACACGGGGTGGGGAAGGCAGCAGGGAGAGGGAGAGAGAAGAATCTTAAACAGGCTCCAGGCCGAGCACAGGCCCAATTGAGCCCATGCAGGTCTCAATCTCACAACCCTGAGATCATGACCTGAGCCGAAATCAAGAGTTGGACACTTAACCAACTGAGACACCCAGGTGCCCCAATTTTTTTTTTTTTAAAGCAGGCTCCATGTCTAGCAGAGCCCATTGTGGGGCCTGAACTCAATCCTGCAATCAAGACCTGAGCTGAGATCAAGTCGGATGCTTAACCAATTGAGCCACCCAGGTAGTCCTAAATTGTAATTTTTTTCTCCTGAAAATGAATTAAATTCTTTTACCCAAAATTTGTGGGTAAAGTTGTCAAGTTTCTTTAATTTGTACTTTTATCAATTTTGCAAAAACATTACCTGAAATGGTTTGGCAGGGGCATATGTTTCAGTTGCAGGTGTGGGTTTCGGAATGCTTTCAATCAATTCCAAAATTCCTTGCAGTTTTTTATCTGAGATTCGTAAAGAAATCAGTGGTAACTTTCCAAAAATCTTGAATCTGTTCCAAAAAACAGGAATCATTTAAAGCAAACTTCATTCTGATTTAAGTGTACTAATTAAAAACACAATTGTTCCCCTTAATATATCCAAAAATAACAGAATGCAATTTTAAGCTCAAAAAATTATCCATAGTCCATAAGATATTTCACAATATCATTCAAATTTCTATTTGGCCTTACCGACCCGTCTCATTAGGTGAACTAACTTCATTATTTTTGAGACTTTTTTTAAGATTTTATTTATTTTTGAGAGAGAGAAAGAGAGCACGGGCAGGGGGAGAGGTAGAGGGAGAAGCAGGCTCCCCAATGAGCAGGGAGCCTGATGTGGGACTCAATCCCAGGACTCTGGGATTATGACCTGAGCCGAAGGCAGACATTTAACCGACTGAGCCACCCAGGCACCTCAGAGATTTATTTTCTAATGTTATTATGTTTATTATCCCTTTACTATTTACCAAATACAGCTGACAATAATTATTATTTATTACATGATAGGCATTAAGGAAAGCACTGATATGCATTATCATAAGTTCTCACAACCTATAAGGTAGACAACCAATTTCTGCTGTTTTTTATAAGTTCCCATATATACATGCTTCCTAACAGGAAACTAATGCTTAGCAAGTTCAAATAACTTCTCTAAGAGATAATATATCTAACTTATGTTTAAAAGTCAGATCTGACTGAAGAAAAATTACATGATCATATAAATTGATGCATGGCAAAATCCAACACCTATTCGTGATAAAAACTCTCAATGAACTAGAATAAAGGTGAGCTTCCTCAACTTGATAAGGAGTATCACCAAAAAAACCTACAGCTATCGTATTTAATGGTAAGAAGCTCAGTTTTCCCACTAAGATTAGGTACAAAGCAAAGAGGTCTCTCTGATCATTCCTTTTCAACACTGTACTGGAAGTTTCTGCCAATCCAAAAGGACAAGAAAAGGAAATAAAAGGTATACAGATTCTGTTCACAGATGACATGATCATCTATACAGAATATCTAAAAAGCAAAGAAAAAAAAAAAAGGACTCCAAGAACTAATAAGCCCTTGTACCAAGGTTGCATAATACAAGGTTGGTACACAACAGTCAATTAATTGCTTTCCTACATAGAATGGACAAGTAGAATTTAAAAATTAAAAATAATACCATTTATATTAGCACCCAAAAAATATAATACTTGGGTATAAATCTAACAAAATATATACAAGATCTATACAGAGGAAACTGCAAAATTCTGATGAATGAAATCAAAGAAGAAATGAATATAAAGAGATACTCCATATTTATTTGTGGATATTAAAATTCAATATTCTCAAGATATTAGTTCTTCCTAAAACGATTCATAGACTCAATGCAATGAAAGTCAAAATCCCAGCCAACTACTTAATGAATATTGACAAAATGACTCTGAAGTTTAAATGGAGAGGTAAAAGATCTAGAATAGCTAACATAATACTGAAGGAGAAGAACAAGGATGGAGGATTGACACTCCCTGACCTCAAGGCTTACTATAAAGCTACAGTAAGCAAGATACTGGTATTGGCAATAGAAAAGACAAAGGTATCAATGGTCAGAATAGAGAGCCCAGGAGTAGACTTCTATGAATACAGCCTACTGGTCTTTGACAAAGGAGAAAAGATAATACAATGAAGCAAAGATATTCTCTTCAAAAAATTTAAGACTAATCTAGAAAAGTGTTGCTAAGGCTGATGTTCAAGAGATCACTATGTTTTCTTTTAGGATTTTTATGGTTTTCGGTCTCTCTCATACTTAGGTCTTTAATTCATTTTGACCTCATTTTTGTGCATGCTGTAAGAAAGTGGTCCAGTTTCATTCTTTTGCATGTAGCTGTCCAGTTTTCTCAGCACCATTTTTTGAAGAGACTGTCTTCTCCTCATTGTATATCCTTGCCTTTTTATAACTGACCATATAGATATAGGTTTATCTCTGGGTGCTCTATTCTGTTCCACCGATCAATGTGTGTCTTTTTGTGCCAGCACCATACTGCTTTATTACAGCTTTGAAGTATATCTTGAAATCTGAGATGGTGCTATCTCCAGCTTTATTCTTCTTTTTCAAGACTGCTTTGGCTATTCAGGGTCTTTTGTGGTTCAATACAGATTTTAGGATTATTTGTTCTAGTTCAGTGAACAATGCTATTGATATTTTGATAGGGATTGTATTGAATCTGTAGATTGCTTTGGGTTGTATAGACATCTAATGATATCAATTCTTCCAAACAATGAGCATGGATAGCTTTCCATCTGTTGGTGTCTTCAATTTCTTTCACCAATAATTATAGTTTTCAGAGTACAGGTCTTTCCCTTCCTTGGTTATGTTTATTCTTACGTATTTTATTCTTTTTGGTGCAACTGTTAATCGTATTTTTTCTTAATTTCTCTTTCTGCACTTTGTTCTTAGTGTATCAAAATGCAATAGATTTCTGTATATTAATTATCTGCAAGTTTACTGAATTCATTTATTCTAATGGTTTTTTTGGTGGAATCTTTAGGGTTTTCTATGTATAGTTTCATGTCATCTACAAATAAGGGTCACAGAAAAGTTGAAAGGAGATTTTTTTTTTTTTTAAAATACCCCTTGCATCTACCCATGCATTGCCTCCATCATTAAAAACATTCCCAGCCAGAATGGTACATTTGTTGAAACTGATGAACCTACACTGACATATCATAATCACCAAAGTCCACAGTTTACATTACTATTCACTATTGGCGTTGTACATTCTGTGGGTCTGGTCAAGTGCATAATGATATGTATTAATCATTATACCACCTAAAGTATATCATGTAAAGTATTTTCACTGCCCTAAAAATCCCCTGGGCTTCAATTATTCATCCCTCCCCTACCACCTTCAAGCCCTGGCAAGCACTGATTTTTTAACTGTGTCCATAGTTTTGCCTTTTTCAGAAGTCATCTAGTTGAAATCATATAATATGTAGCCTTTTCAGACTGGCATCTTTCACTTGGTAATATGCATTTAACATTTCTCTACATCTTTCCATGACCTGACAGCTTATTTCCTTTTAGCAGTGAATAATATTTCATTGTTTGATATGCTACAGTTTATCACCTATTGACTGACATCTTGGTTGCTTACAAGTCTGGGCTATAAAATTGAAATATAAAATTTATGTGTATAAGCTTAATATGAAAGTGTAAATAAAACTACTATAAACATCTGCACACAGGTTTTCTGTGGATCTAAGTTTCAACTCCTTGAGACCTAAAACCATAAAAATCCTAAAAGAAAACAGACAGTAATCTCTTGTACATTAGCCTTAGCAACACTTTTCTAAGTATCTCTCCTCAGGCACATGAAACAAAAGCAAAAATAAACTACTGAGAATACATCGAAATAAAAAGCTTTCGCAAAGCAAAGGAAACCATCAACAAGATGAAAAGGTAACCTACTGAATGGGAGAAGATACTTGCAAATAATATATCCGATAAAGGGTTAATGTCAAATATATAAAGAATTTCTACAACTTGACACCAAAAAAAACCAAACAATCCAATTAAAAAATGGGCAGAGAGG